TGTTCGCTCAATGGTCAATTTTTTTTGGAGATTTTAATGATTATGCAAAATAAATAAATTTAATATTCTTGTATGTGCTAAAATTGTTTTATGCAGAGTTTTAATTATGGAAATTACTAAAGAATGCAAGTCTCTACAAATTCAAGATTCTTTGAATACTATGAAGATTATTGAAGATTTTTTTAGTAGTTAGTATCTAAAGATATATTGTATGGTTAGTATCTATGGATATATTGTAAGATAGAGAAAATATTTTTTTTATAAGCACAAAATTTTTTTTTCTTTCTTTCAAAATAATTTTTGGAAATTGCCTTAAAAAGAAAAGTTAAATCTTGCTCTTTTAAATTCACTTACCTAAATGAAAAGATTTTGGCGTAATTATTTTTGGCAACAAATAATCAAGTATTTGTAAAAAATTCACATATCTTTTATTTTCGGAAATTACTTTAAAAAGAAAAGTCAAATCTTGTTTTTAATTCTACTTACCTAAATGAAAAAGATTTTGACTTAAATATTTTTGGTAACAAGTAATTGAGAATTTACAAAAGATTTGTATATCTTTTTATTTTCGGAATCTAAATAGTTTTTAAAACTAAAGATCATCATTTTCTAAAACTTAAATATTTTTGGTAACAAGTAATTGAGAATTTACAAAAGATTTGTATATCTTTTTATTTTCGGAATCTAAATAGTTTTTAAAACTAAAGATCATCATTTTCTAAAAACGTGACATTTTTTTTTTCTTTTGAAAACATTGAGGTTATTGTAAGAGTAAGAGTTCATTAAATAAAATTTTTAAATCTTTCAAAACTCTCTCTTCAAACCTCCTTATTTCTTTTCTTCTATCTTCAAGAAATATTTTTCAAGAGAAAAGAAAACTGATGACAACATTTTCTGAAGAACAGTTCTAAACTTTAATTCTGTTTTCTGTTATTTCTATGCTTATAATTGCGTTTTCCCTGTCTATATAGATTTTTGTAATCTATTGTAAACTTTAAATGAAAAACTTTTGTGTAATAGTTTAGGTGAACAACTATGGTGTAATAGATTATCAAGCGACCTTCTCTTTGTGTGAGATTTTAATATCTTGATGTGAGTTTCTGTACTCTACAAAAACAAAAAGGGTTGAAGTTGACCAGAACCTTTGGAAAATCTAGTTCGACAAAAGTTAGATCTAGGCGTTGATCTATTTCCTTATAAAGTTGGTTTGTCTCTTACCTTTAAAAAAATATAACATAGTGGAGGATCTCAAAATTAGTCTTGGAAAGTGGATGTAGGCGAGCTAGCGCCGAACCTCTATAAATCTCTGTGTTTATCTTTTTTTTTATTTTCTGAAGTTCTGCTTGATTATATTTTATTTACACAACTGTTAATCTTTTCAAAAATGCAAAGTTATTAATGAGTTTCTGTTTCCAAATGTGACCAATCTTTATATCTGTGGAACATTAGAACTCTGGATTTCTATATTGTGATTATACCAAGTTCTAATATGTCCTCCCACAATCAGTATAAATCACAATATGAATTATAATCAGTTTTCTAAATTTGCTTAAAGTTTTGTGAAACAGTTCTAAAATATAATAACTGTTTTTCACATAATCTTTCTAAATAGCAATAAACTTTGTAAAGCAGTTCTAAATATAATAACTGATTCTTCACAAAGTCTTTTTAAATTTGCTTAAGTTTTGTGAAGCAGTTCTAAATGCAATAACTGTTCTTCACAAAGTCTTTCTAGACTTGCAATAAGTTTTATGAAGAAGTTTCAAACTTGATAACTAACTTTCACAAATATTTTTTAATTCCACTGCAACAAAATTCTGATTTTATTTTTAAAATTCAAATTTTTAGAAAATTCAATTCACCTCTCCTCTTTTTTTTTTTTTTTTTTTTTTTTAGAAAAATTCAATTCACCTCTCCTCTTTTTTTTTTTTTTTTTTTTTTTTTTTTTTTTTTGAGGCATCATTGGGAAGGGTTTGGTTGAAGAATAAAAAAGAAAGGCTTAGAGCAGGCCGATTGTTTTAACACGAAAGGGAGTTTAAATTTTGAAACGGAGGGAGTGTACATACCTATAGTACTAAGGAAAAGAAACTTAAAAATATAACACATAATATTTATGCATGCAATACACGTGTTCTTTATTAAAACAAAAAGTGGACAGTTGTTAAGTAAGAAAGCAGACCTTGTGCATCTGGAAAGTGGACCTTCATTTTTAATTAAATGTTATCGCCTCTACCCAGTGCTTCTCTTTTTTTTTTTTTTTTTTTTTTTTTTTTTTTTTTTTTTTTATTTTTTTTTGAAATTACTTTGTGGTGACATGTGGCAGCTTGTGAAATAATACCTTTTTTTTTTTTTTTTTTTTTTTTTTTTTTTTGAATTCTTGTGGTGACATGTGGCAGCTTGTGAAATAATCCTCTAGAAGCCCATTATGTCAGTGTTCCGTAGTGCTCCACCTCTTCATCTTTGAGAACAATTTTATACAGGACAATTAATTATTGAAAATGCTAATGGTAAAAAAAGAGAAATGTTAAAATAATGGAATATAAAATAAATAAAATGAAATAAATAATAATAAAAGAAAGGAAAAAGTTAACAAACAAACAATAAATAAAAATTTATTGGGTTGCCTTCCAATAAGCGTTAATTTTAGGTCATTAGCTTGACCTTCAGTTGTTCTATATTAATCTAGTGGCTCCATTAAGGAGTGGCTCCATCCTTATGGTATACCTTCTCGATCAGGTATGACTTCAAACACTGGCCATTGACCTTGAAAGGTTTGGAAAATTTTCCTTGAATTTAGACTGTTCCATAAGAAAATGCTTTTATTACCTGGAAGGGTCTAGACCAATAGGACTTTTAATTTTCCCGAAAAGAGCTTCAAGCGGGGTTAAATAGTAACGCTGAATCTCCTTGAATTATTTTCTCCGAATGTGCTTACCTTGCCATGCTTTGGTCCTCTCTTTGTATATTTTGGCTTTTTTTCATAAGAATCCATTCTTAATTCCTCAAGCTCATCAAGTTACAATAATCTTCGTTCACCAACATCTTTCAGATCAATATTTAGTGTTTTGATCGTCCAAAAAGCCTTGTGCTCTAATTCTACTGCTGGGTGACATAGTTTTCCAAACACTAGTTTGAAGGGTATTATTCCAATCGGGGTTTTGTAAGCCATTTTATAGCCCAAAGAGCATCGTCTAGCTTTATTGCCAGTATTTTCCGGCATTTTTCACCATTTTCTACAAAATACCCTAAATTTTTTGATTGAAAATTTCTATTTGTCCAATGGTTTGTGGATGATAGGGGATTGCTACTTTGTGGGTGATTTTATACTTTTTCAAAAGTATTTCCAAGAAAACGATTACAAAAATAAGTTCCCCTATAGCTGATAAGAACTCGCGACACCCCATATTGGTAAGTACAAATTTCTTCAAGAATTTATCACCACTCTCACATCATTAGTTGGTGTAGCAATAACCTATACTATTTAGGGACATAATCAACTGCCAATGGGAAGGTTCCATAAAGTCTATCCCCAAACATCAAATATCTCAACCTCCAAAATTCCATGGATCTTTATTTTTTCCTTGTAATCCCACTTCTCTGCTGCTTTATTTTTGAATTTTCCTAATTGTTGTATGCTACTCTCTTTTTTGTAGTCCCCTCAATTCTCCCCTTCTTTAGGGTTTCTTTTTTTATTTTGTATATGGTGTATGATTCATTTTCAATAAGCCTTGGATGGTTTTTGATTCTTCAATTAGGATTTTGACATAGTAAGGTTTTCAACAATCACCTCAATGGATGATGTCTCCAAGAATAATCAATTTGTCTTTTAGCCAAAGGTCTTGGTAGACTGTTTTGCAATAAAATTGAACGTTCTCTTTTGATAAACACAGCAAAGTAGGTATTTTGAAAAGCATATGACCTCCTTTTACAATATTGCTCTTGAAATAATTCTCAATGTGGTCATTAATAGATCACCTCCAACTGGGTCATCAACTGAAGGTTAATACTCTATTTTTAGGTCTATTTTCCAGTCATTTTACACCTAAATAAAACGTCAATGGAATTGTTTAACAGGCTATCAAAGTAAGCACATGTACTAAAAATGGGACTTTTATCTTTAAAACATATCCAAAATGCAACTAATATCCCATTGAACTTCTCGTAATTTGTATGCATTATGTGCTGCCATCACCTCTATGCATCAAGAATGGCGTTCTAGTTTAATCCATGTCAGATTCGAGAATGCAACTGAAAGTAATGCCATTCCAATTCAATTCAAATCAAATTTGAGTTCTTATGAAGCTGATTATGTTTTAAAAATTAAAACCAATAGGGTTAGTTTAGTTTGAGAGAGGGAAATGATAAAAGGCCGAAAATAAAAATGTGGAGGAAGAGAGGGAAGGATGAAAATTACCTTATTTTGTTATGTTTTATTCGAGCTTAGAGGGAAAAAAAGGAATTTAAATAATTTTTTATATGTTTGACTGAAAAATCTAAATATTTTTAGAAGTAAGCCTTTTTCCTTTTTTTTTTTTTTTTTTTTTTTTTTTTTTTTTTTTTTTATTTTTTAGAGTAAGCCTTTTTCCTTTTTTTTTTTTTTTTTTTTTTTTTGTTTTTTTTTTTTTTTCCTTCCTTAATTGAAGATGGAAAGAACATTATTAAATCAAGCATCAAAGCACTCCCACCATCCAGTTTTTGGTTCCCAAGGAGCTTAACAAAGTTCCCACGAAAATTAAATTATGACCAAAACTTCATATAATGGCCTGTTTTGGAATCATCGAGTACACTTTAAGCTTCTAAACAGAGTCATACATGTTGCAGCACTTCAACAACTATCCTTTTTGTTCTTTTCTTTCTTTTTCAAAACCTTTACCCATGTTTTTTTTTTTTTTTTTTTTTTTTTTTTTTTTTTTTTTTCCTTCCTTATTGATAGATGGGAAGAACATTATTAAATCAAGCATCAAAGCAACTCCCACCCTCCAGTTTGGTTCCCAAGGAGCTTAACAAAGTCCCACAGAAAATTAAATTATGACCAAAACTTCATATAAGGCCTGTTTTGGAAGTCATCGAGTACACTTTAAGCTCTACAGAGTCATACATGTTGCAGCACTTCACAACTATCCTTTTTTGTTCTTTTTTCTTTTCAAACTTTACCATGTTTTGATTCTTGAGAATTCAATCCCACACCGCAACTGTTATTCATCATGTAATCAAGCAAATAACAAATGGTTCACTGTACTAATTGATGAAGTGCTTAAGGAGTTCTTGCATCTTTCATTTTCAGCAATAAAACAATGTACAACACTAGACCCGCCCAGAATTTTACAACCCTCAGTTTCCCAATTGACAAAATAAAGCAAAATTGAAAAGGAGTATAGAGTTACCCACTTGAAGAATGTGATTCTTTCCCACCAAGTGTCTGAATTATAGCTTCCAAAAGCTTAATTTCATTATCACGCTTAGATATTTCCTCTTGCTTTGCACGCAGCTCCTCCATGTGCAGTTCAAATACCTCTGCATCCAAATACATATATAAATTATATTGTCAATCACAAGTAATAACTTTCATTTTGAATTATCCTTATTTATAAGACATGAACCAGAACCTAGAAACAAAACAACAAGGATATTTAAAATGTCTAAAGGTGATAGGGCTGCCACATCATAAAGCTCGTTATAAATGGGTTGTCAATGGAAAAAGGAGTCATTACCACAATTAAGTGCACAAAATGATTGGTTAAAGGGACACTTAAAGACCCTGGGTAAAAGGGAGATTTTCAAATAAAATGAAAACAGCTGTCTTCAAATTTTTCACAAATGTTGCAATTCAAAATAGCTTTTACCCTAACCATAATTAATACATAAAAGGAGACTTGTAATGTCCAGAAATTCATGACATTATACAATGAGTAGAAGACACCCACTGGTCTTCATAAAGAGTCATCCAATATTGTAAGCGATGGTAAGAATCATAACATATTTTTCAGCTGCACTTCAGTTCCACAGTATAGGAGTTTGATGAAGGGACAGTTCCTACTTTAAATGCATGATATTCATCAATGGAAAAAATAAAAATATTGGCCTAATGGCTAATTCTCCATATTTAAGGTGCAAAAGATGAAACATATAAAATTGATTTGGTGCTTGAGTCATCTGAGGTGCATTGTATGATATAGAAAAGTGATGCTCAGATTTAAACTTTTAGGGGATTGCTACAGTTGTTTTCCTACCCTTTCTCTATGACAGATTATTAGAATATTAACCAATTTTGTTAAATGCATTTATGTTTTAGTAATTTCAAGAGTAAATGAAGAGTTCCCAAATTAAGTGCATGTAAAACTTTAGTTTTAAAACTTGCCATTTGATAGAATTAGATAGCCTTCTTAAAACAAGTTTCTTACTGCATATTTAGAGCTTAAGTTTCAAACTAGAGTTAATTACTTTATTTAATACTCATAGTAATTAAAGACGCACCAAGGTGCAAAGGGCTGCTGGAGCCTGGGTGCTAGCCTAAGGTGCACGCCTTAGGAAGTGAGGCGCAATAATTAAAGAAAAAATTGAAACACATAAATCTGAAATTATATTTCAAGATATCAAAAAAACAGGATAAAAATTAGAAAAACATGGAAAGAAACACACATAAATCCGGAAAGAAATGGCAACATAACAAGTTATATTTTAAGATATTGGAGTTAATATAGACAAGAGTAGAATCAAGAAAATGAAAAAAGAAAAAGAAAAAAAGAAAGCAAAATAGAAAGCAAATATAGGAAGAGAAATTGAGAAAGGCATATCTGGATGGCTTTTGGCTAAAACTAGATGAGGGAGTGGCGGTTGGATCATAAAGCACATCACTGGCTTTTGTGTTGTATTTTATTTATTTTATGTAAGCAGTTGAGAAAGGCATATTTGGAGGGCTTTTGGCTAAAACTACATGAAGAACTGGAGGCTGGATCACAAAGCACATCACTGGCTTTTGTATTGCATTTTATTTCTGCGGATGTGGGTTAGACAACTTTATATTGAAAGAAAACTCTGTGTGTCTTGTTCAGGAAAACAAAAAATAGAAAGGTGGGCCTTTCTTGAGCCTTTAGGAGCAAAAAAGGCGCATGCCTCTACCTAGAAGCAATAGCCTGAGTGAAGTTGCTAAGGCACAAGCTCTTGAGCCTTAAGTAAGGCGCGCCAGAGGTGTGCCTTTAATAACTATAGTTTAACTTATGAACTCTTGTATAAATAGGCTTCTATCAAAGCTAAATGTAAAAAATTGCAACAAAGAGTTCAATTCTAATAAGAAGTTCTATTCTAAACAACTTTTTGTTTTCCATTTTTGAGTTCTCTACCTATTGGGTTTTTCCTATTTTCTAACTATTAGAGCATAAAATCCCACACAGATGTATGTTTTCAAAATAGAGTTGGTGCACATACTCGTGGTGTTCTCAAGTTCTCTTGTAATTTCTTGTGCACGTAGTTCTGCAGCTTTTTGTGCTGCCTCAGCCTGTCTCTTTTCTGCACGAGCACGAGCAGCAGCAGAAATGGCAGCATCAAGTTCTCTTTCCAAAGTCTCTACCCTTTGTTCAAGAACCTATATACAATATAAACTGCATTATTTACAAACTTTTGACAGGCCCTTCAGAAATTTCAGACCAAAACAGGAGGCTGATAGCCCATGATATCAAAAAAGATTAAACAGCATGCAGTAAAATATGGAAGTAAGCAATGAAATTTAATTGACTACACATACAATTACTTATATGAGATATATCTATACGCTAGTCAATTGGTCATAGCTCTGCTGAAATCTAAGTTAATTAATAATGAATCGTTTCGTACTCATTTTATACAAACATATTAACAGAAGGCCCAAACATTAAGGCCATGTTTGGTTCACAGAATAGAAACAGAATAGAACAGCAGTTCAACATGGAATAATTATATGCAGCTTTAGGTTATGAAGAAAAGTTATTCCTCAAATCTATGGAATGCAAATTTCAAACATAACTACAGAATAGTTATTCCAAAACCCAATCAGATATTCCACACATAATCCTGTCACTTATCCCTATCAAATTCTCTAGACAAATCAAATCCCTCAATAAACCAACCCTCTTCTTCTCCAATCAAGAGTGAGAGCTCGTCCTCAATTCCTCACCTCCTTTGTTTTGTTTGTATTAACAATCACAATTTCATGCCTTCAACTATCCCAATGATTCTCAATCAGCTTCTTCAATTTCTTATCAAGTACAAATAGTCACTAGCTCATCACCATTAACAAAAACCAAGAGTCATCCTACAGTTTAATTCAAAATCATTAAACATGTTCACCTTAATTTTAATCGTGTTGTTATCTTGATTATTCTTTTATGCTTCTGATTTTGAAACAAATACACAATAAATAACTGAAGACAAAGTATAATTATGAAACAAACTATTAACTAATCCCTTACCTATAAATTGAATTCAAAATAACTAATAAATTTAGCTAACTTTTTACTAGAGATTGAATTGAGCTCAAGTATTTCAAATTCATCCCATATTTTGAATTTGAGAATGTGAAAATAAGAACAAGTTGAGTTCAATCCTAGTTTCAATCCCTAAGTTCCGAAACTGAGTCAAGTTCAAAAAGCATAGTGTGTTGAGTGAGTATGATCAGTTACACCCTCTAACCTTCAACCATCACTATGAACAAGAAGGGCCTATCCTAGTATCCCCTAATGGCAAACCACATCACTGGAGTCAATTAATAAACCATTCACTATAATCTCAAGCATTACTCCTAATATTTCTGCAATTACACTCAAATCAGTGCAATTACCTACAAAACCACAATTTTCACCATTCTCGGATATACAAAAAGACACTAACAATAGAATATTAAGAGAAGAATAACCCAGTTTTCCATAACAATAGAATATTAAGAGAAGAATAACCCAGTTTTCCAAAATCAACATATCATCATTACGATCAGCCTTATTCTAAAATGGAAAACTCAGATCATGAAAATTAGGTCTGATAAAATAGAAAATTTGCAAGAATAAAAAATTAAAAAAGTGAGAGAGATAACATACCTTGATTGTACGGGCTTGTTCAGAGCTTAGGGAAGCTTTAGCGAAGGTCTCTTCATCAACAAAGACAGCTTTCTTGAGTAATAGTTTCTGGAGAGAGTCCAAATTGGAAGCCATCTCCGTTAGATTGGCTATGGCTCCTTTCCATCTCTCCTCACTGCTTACTTTGTTTTTGTCTTTCTCCTCCATTGTTACTGGAATTTGACGAAGTGCCGCTGTTTTGTGTGATTGCGTATTGCAGTTAGAAAAATAATTATGTGATTGCGTTCTGCGTTTTACTCTGCCTTAGATTTGTACCATCTCTTTAGGATAACCAAAAAACCAAACCGTAAAATTCAAAGGTTCTGTGATCTTAAGATCTCAAATTTGGGTGTTCTTAGTTTTTTATTTTCTAAAAATCGAAAAGAGCTATTTTATTTTCTTATAATTTTTTTTATTCATAAACGTAAAAATGTACTCTTTAGAGCGAGAAATGTCAAGTTTGACATCAAAATATTATTAAAAAATAAAATTTTCACTCTTCACTAAAATTTCATAATGACTGTAAATTTTGTGTTATAAAAATGATTGAATCTCGTAGGGCAATCTTTTTTTAGAAGAAATCAAATTAGAATTTTCATTAAAAGGAAACTGTATACAGATATAAGAAACAGATCAATATGTTTCTACAAATTAATATGTTTCTATATTTTTATATAGTAAATCTAATAATAACCATTTATACAAAGAATAAAAAAACACAATCTTGATTTGAAATATATAGAGTAGACAAAGCATAATATTTGTGTTGCACTTGGTAGCTATTCATGTACTCCATAGTTTTCCTACAAGTCCGATCTAATTACTTTTAAATTTTTTTGGAAGGTTTACACTTATTTCTTCATAATTATTCAAATAATAAAAGACGTTAGACAAAATTACCATAACAGTGACAACAATAAATTATAATTATATCTAATAACAAAATTTCAATATATGGGCTAAATCTCAAATAATCGGATGACAATAACTCGTATCTGTATACAGATTTGACAATTATTTTAAAAAAAAAAAACTAAACGAAAAAAGAAAATAAAAAGAAAAAAAGATAACCACCAGTGAGCTGGCCGCCCATAAAAGGAGAAAAAAGAACTTTTAGATTTTAACTCATATCTGTATCAAAAACAAACTTTTTTAATACATCAAATGGAGAGAGTCTGTTGGGTCCGTGTCTACCAAGAGTGTCTTAGGATAGGGTGAATTAACAAGTCAAGATGAGAGAAATTAAAAAAATTCAAATTAGAAAATAAAGCAAGTTTAATTGGGTTTTGTTTGTATTGTGTGAAAATAACAAATATTTCAAGATATTTACAATGCTACATCAGATTATACAAAAGCCAATAATAACTTAGATATGCACAATATGTACAAGTGAGTTTTAGACCCAATTGGTTCTCTTGATATGTTCTTATCAGTTATACCCAGTATCATTATACCCGTTATCAGTCCGATCTAATTACTTTCAAATTTTTTTGGAAGTTGAGAAGATAAATTATAAAAAAAAAAAAAATTTTGATTTTTGGATAAATTGCAAGCATGTTGGCACAAGGTAAAAACTAGATAATTTAATTCAATTTCTGTAAATTAATGATTTTTTTTTTGGAAAAGGCGAAAAATGAATTAATTGAATATAGAGTGCAAGTTGAGGCCACAATTTGAGTATTTTTCGCATTGTATGGCCAGAGGGAATTTGAGCTTACACTGTATTTTGAGCTTATGAAAAGAGTTTAGAAGTTTATGAATCAAAATAATAAATTTAATATTTTTATTAAAATAAAAATATCTTTGAACATATATTTAAAAAAAATAAAATCAAAATATTTTTAAAAATATTTAATTTTATTTGTCTGATTTATAAACATGCCATGTTCCAGTCAAAGCCAGTTTTTAACTTAATCAGTAGGCCTAGTGGTTTTTGGTCAATTAAGAACCCACTTTTCTTTTATTTCTTTCTTTTTTTTATTCTCTAAGAGACGGAAAAGCCTGCGTTCTCTCTCGCTGCTGCCAACTCCTCTTATTGATCTCCTTCTTCCATCAAAGACATAGAAAAGCCCAACATTGAAAGAAAAAACGCATTCTTTTTGTTCCACTCTAATCTAATTTTTCGTTTTCTGTTAATTATCATCTTCTTCTTCTTCTTCTTCTTCTTCTTCCTTTTTTTAGTTTGTCATTAAACGCACTACCTTGAGCTCTTTGGTTTCTAAGAGAGAATCCAGTGGTAGAGTTGAAGAGATACTCTTCACTCTTATCGGATTCGTTTCTCGAAGATCAAGTAATGGATAGAGGTAACAGATCACGGAAACCTTTTTTTTTTTTTTTCTTTTCAGAACATGTAAAATTTGTTTTAATTTTGGTCTACTTTTTGTTGGAGAAAATAATGAAATTGTATTTAATAATAATAATAATAATAGTGGTAGTTAAGTTTATTATTTGAACAATTGATGCAAAAATTACAAGAGAAATAGTTATGAATAGAGTTTAATGTTATTGTTCAACTTCAAGTAGTACATTTCTGGAATGTAATGTAATGTAATTGCTTAAGCAAAATTTGGTATTGATCTTTGATTTGCATGTATTCCCTCCATAATTGCTTGGAAGTAGAGTTATGCTTTTTTTTTTTTTTTTGTTTAATAAAAATTATCATTGGGAGCAAATGAAGTTTGTATGTACTAATTTACTGTTAAAGTTCTTTTAATTCTGTGTTAATCTAAAATGGATTTGGTTTGGTTCAAAGTTTATATGCAAAAAGAAAGATTTATTGTGGTTTTTATATTTTGTTTACTTTCTAATACTGAATATGCAAGAAAAAATTAATAGAATTAATTCCTTAGGTTTAGCGTTATTATTTTAATTATGCTTTTGTTCTGCTGCCGGGTGTGAACTGAGTGAGTAAGCAGCTTAAGCTGTTTCCCTGTTCATTAGGCTACTGCTTGCATAATACGGTTTTTACTTTGGAAGTCCATTTAATTGCTTGAACTTCTTTAATGTTCATTCGGCTAAATTTTTTCCTACCATGTTGCAATCTCTCGTTTTCCCTTTTGTTGCTGTTTGTAAATTGGCGAGTCCGTAGTTTGCGTAGCTTCACAATTCAAAACCCAATTGAGCTCTAATGTACGTGTATAAAATTGCTCGATTGCGCTGGGGAGAGTCACTACTGTTAGCTCACCTGTCTGCTTGTTGTCCTCGCTTCATATTATCTGTCTTCATTGTTTTATTAGGTTGTCACCTCTTGCTCTTGCTAGTTCTTTGTGCTTTCTTAGTATCTTTATCACCTCCTGCTTTCTTGAGACAGCAATTGTGGCAGCTTCTTGTTTGAATTTTGTTACCATTCATCCTCTATTTCACCGTTCAAAAGGAACTCAGGTGTCATCTATGTACATAGTGTAGTCTTATGGTTGTGCACATTTTTTTGGCTTCCATAGATTGTTCCTCTCATAATAGGTAATCTAAAATTCAATATCTGATAATTTTTGTGGCTTTAATTTTTCAGGATAATGTTGTGATTGCTATTTAAACTTGTTCATCTCCTGCACCATTAATTAATTTAGAACTTGAAGAATAATAGAAGTATCACGAAGGAAAAATCAACGACAATAGTTGGCAGTATGTTGACACCTAGATTTTCATTTTTTGGGAGTGTGGGTTCGAACAAGGTCAATAACTCATCAGATACTCTTAAAAGGGAGCTGGAACCAACAATAAAACTGCAAACAGATAAGGATGTTTATCGGCCTGGTGATTCCATTTTGGTTACTATTGAGATATCTAACATCCATAATGGCACCTCAGAAAGCATTTTAAGTTCATTGATAATTGAGAAGCTTGGGTTTGAAATTAAAGGTATCGAGAAGTTGGATCCTCAATGGTTTGCTACTCAGAAGCATTTGCCTGGAAGTAAACTGCGTAGAGGTTTGTAAAATTTTCCAATTTTAGTCTTCCTTTTTACATTTTTTAAAGGCCTAATGCATAATGTGATCCTGTACTTTCGGCAATTATCCTTGTGGCCCGTTGAACTTTGCGAGAGACCATCATAATCTTGCACTTTCACATTGCAATAATAACATTACCTCTCGTTAAAATGAGATGTGAAAGTGCAGGGTCATGATTGAACACCCGGAAAGTTGAAGGGGCCACATGGGGAATCAACCAAAGTTCAGGGTCAAATCTATGTATTAGGCCATTTTTTGGAAGTACTTAACATTCACAAATTTTTGTTTCTTTCACTTAATATTTGTCACATATGTTGTCTTTAAAAGGGAAGACTATTTGATTTGCCAGAAAAAATGTTGTGGACTTTTAAGGTAAGATCAGGCAAAAAGGGATGTGGAAGTAATAAGAAAGAAGGAAATGAAGTTGAGGTAGGAAAGTAATTTTGTCTTCTCTAGATTTTTTTTTTTTTGGGGGTGAGGTGAGTTAAAATTGTTCTTCAATGATAAAATTACAATTATTGCCCCACTATTTTTTGGGAGAAATTATTATATAGTTATATGGAAAATTGACTCGTTTTCCCGCCCCTTTCTTTTCAATTTGGAGTGACAAGTTTTTGTAATCTCATGTGCTACTTTCTATTTTATTTTTCTTTTCCTAAACTTCTTCTGTCAACAAACCATGGCAAAGCGGATTACTCCAATGTTCTTCCCCTCTCTCTCTCTCTCTCTCTCTCTCTCTTCTTACCATTTTTCCCAATTTATAATCAATTTGAACAGTCCTCTTGGCCTCTTTTCGACTTACCAAATACAATTAATAGAAGTAGCCAGGAATTTGTTTTTGCATTCAGACTTGTGATGTCAATAGAATTTTGGTTGGCAAAATGAAAGGAGGAAAATAAAGAATGTTGAATATCTTGATCTTTTTATTTTTTATTTTTTATTTTAGTGGTTATATTCCTTTCTTACCTTTGCAGGTGAACATGTCTTTATGGACTGCTCAACATCATCTTTAGTTTCTAATCAGATTTTGTCCTCTGGTGCCACAAAAACATGTAAGATAAGGTTCTATTTTTATTTTATTTTTCTTCGTTTACATTGATTACCATAACAGTGATAGTTATTTAGTCTTCCGCTCTTTTCACCTTTATGATTTCTATTTTAAAAAATGTTAAGTGGATAAAAATGGATCCTTTTGTTGATTGTCTTCATAATTATATTTACAGTTGTCAACATTGAACATCTGTAAATCAGTCCAGTTTCAATCCTACTTGACTTGGTTGGCTGAAACTGAATTCAATTATTCAAGCCCTCTGGTTTGTTTTAGTGGATTTTTCTTTAGTACTATATCATCATTGGGTGAAAAGGTGCTAACAATGTGCATTCGGAGGGCATTTTATTTATTCCCACTTTAGCTAGTTTTATTCTGTACAACAACATCATTGAACTTGTGTAAATCAGTCCAGTTTTAATCCTACTTGACTTGGTTGCCTGAAACTGAATTCAATTATCCAAGCCCTCTGGTTTGTTTCATTGAATTTTCCTTTAGTACTATATAATTATTGGCTGATAGAGGGAAATCATTCTGTTCTCGCACTTTAACTAGTTTTGTTTTCTGCACAAGAGTGTTTGTGAATAAAAGGCTGCTAACAAACTGTTTCATGCTTTAGCACGCTTTGTTGTAATCCTGATACATTATGCTTATATTCTGATTTTCTGAATATATGTTTAATATAATGAGTTAGTTACATTATATTACCTTTTTCAAGTTATTTAATACCAATAGTTCATTCTTGTAAATTCATTAAGCAAATCGCTTTATGCAATCCACAGATGTTGTGCGAGCTGTGCTACCTAGCATTATACCACCATCATATCGTGGTGCTACCATTCGCTATCTTTACTATGTTAAAGGTACATTATTTGGAAGATGGCTGATATTGGAAAATGGGCAGTCTCCCTCAGGTTCACCAAAAGATCTCATTGAACTGGTGGGTTTCCTTGATTATCTCCCTTGCTTTGAGGGTCCATAAATGATTTTCTTTCTATTTGCCTTCTCTATCTGTCTCTGTTATTCACAAGGATAATTCAGTGCACTGTCTCTAGCTATTTGATGGCATGGATAACTCAGTGCACTGTCTCCAGCTATTTATCCATCAGACTGGTTTGAATTTCTTGGCACTTTACTGCTGATAAGTGTTAGTTTACTTAGTGATGTCTTAAATTTTGTATCATGCATTACATATTCTTTCTAGGTGCATTAGCTTTAAATTAATCATGTATTACATCACACTTGTTCTTGTGGTTGATTTTGTGGTCACAATTCCATGTATGATTAATTTGCTATTGTGACATATTGATTTTTGCTATTCTGATGTACTAATTTTTATTATCACCTCAAGAAAATGTCTAATGTGTTGCCTGGAAAAAAAATTTAAATATCATATGTTGATTGCTAGTGACATGCCAAATATCCAGATAGTTCACATGATATTTTTTTTTCTACGATGCTTTTCTAATTATGTATAAGATTTTTCATGTATGTAGCATACAGGTCACACTGTTGAGCTTTTAGCTTAAAAAATTGAGTTGTATATGATGCTTAGCATGTTTCATTAGGCCTTTCCTGCCATTGCTCTCCCCTCTCCCTTTCTATCCCTTCCTCTCTCCTTGGATTAGGAAAAAAATACTAAAAGGACTTCATGGAGGTGCAGAAAAGAGAGAGTCAACAAAGTGTATAAGATAATACCATTCTCAAGAAGCAGTCTTCTATACCAAAATTTAAGTCTCCAGAGCTAACTATTAGCTAGATCAGATACCTTTCCTCGAACCCAAAGGCACTCCTCTTTCAATTCCTGGGAACTGTCTAAAATTAGTAAGAGTATCAAGAAGAAGTATTTCCTCCTCTCCCTAACTATTCTCAAAAAATTGTTCAACTTTGGTTTATGGATAAGAAATGGCTCGAACAGTTATTTTTTGTATCTGAGTTAAGTCTCTTGGGGCCATTTCTCAGTCTTTCTTTATTATCACATTAGTGCAACCTTTTTAGTGGATTGTGAACTCTGGTGGTCCACTCATGCAATACAACTACAATGCTTCCTTGATGCTTTATTTATGGACGTTTATGCCTTTATTATCACGGAACATGACAGGATTGATAGAATATCAAAGACAATTTTCTGCTTCTTCCTGACACGCAACTTAGTTTTTTTTATGTTGTTGCCATTTATTAGCAACTAGTATTGCTCTTATTAGCATAGATGCATTGATTTTGGTGAAAACCCTTTATTCTTTTTATCACTTACGGCTTTTCAATTTTTGAATTCAAGTTCTCATATGGAGTTATACTTCTGGTAGGAAGCTCGTGTCCCATTACAAATATGGGTGACTCAGAAGAGCAATGGCCTGCTTATGGAAGAAGGTCAGCATGATGGTGAGTAGTTTCTGTTTCCCATTTGCTTGAACCACGAACTTATTTGTTGCTTGCTTTGGTAATGTTCACAATCAAAGGGGTTTATTAGAATTCAGGTGATAGTATCTATTAAATCGCAAGGATTGAGGAGAAAAAGAGAGGTAATTGCTATCATTGCATTGGTTGGTTTTTGAGATACCATTGTCTCTAAAACTTCTTGAGAAATTAATTACTATCTAGGATTTGAGAAATTTAATCAGCAGACAAGTGACCTAAGACCATACATATAACACTCATGTATATTGACCTTAACTCAGCTGAATAGCTGCTTGTGCAAAATTTGAAAAAATAACAAATTCTTGTTGGAAATAGACTTACAAATTTGTATGCCAAGAAACTTCAAGAGTTCATTGTTGTTGGAGATTTAGACTCTGCAGATACTTTTAAGAAGCTCCAAGTTGATTGCAGCTGCAGATGGATAAATATTCGGTGATGTTAAGTATCATTCTGCCAAGAGTTGTATGCATCTTGGCCTGAAATCTAAAACGTGAACATGCTAGCCATACTGTTGTACAAATCAGAAAATATGGCCTTATACTCCATTGCATCTTGAATAAGAAATACTGATAAACCAGTTTTTCCATTCACTACAAGTTTAAGACATACAATCAACAATTTGTGCAGGAGTTTGTGTCATCTTGTTTATTAACATCTGTTTTCTTTCTTTGCTCTTCTATTTTTTTCCCTTTCTTGACCTTCCATCGTTATAAATATTGGCTTTCAATTCTTTTGTTTGATTATATCCATGATGAACACAAAGGATATATTTTTTTTATTAAATACATTGCACCTTAAGGTAAAACTTTTCTTGATCCTTGTTTTTGTCTTTCTTTTTATGCTTCTTGCAAATGATTATAACTTTAATATTTATTATGTATTCTAACTGCATTTCTACATATTAATATAAAATATTGCATTTAGAAGATCTTTTTTGGTAAGAGACATTGGATTTTATTTGTTTTATATATCCCTTGAAAGACTATAACATTTGTATATTGATGTCGTCAGCAATTGTTCCTTCTACAACCCTCCAACTGGATGTATACTGGAAAGCTATGGATGGAGATTCTGAATGGGTAGGCAGTTCATTGTGCATTTTGAATGGATCGTACTTGTGATATATGATATATGAAGTCTGTGTATTTGGAGTTTCTATTTCAGTGTCATTTTAACTTACATTCACCCATGCAATTCCTTCCGCTAGCTATTTGAAATTTGATAGATTGAGTTATTCAATTTGTTTTCTGATACAGTCTAGAGTAAATGATTTAGAAGATGGAGTTGAGGAAGGTTATGACAGTTCCAGAGATGAAGTCTCTTCCATTTCTTCCTACAATCCCACTAAAGAAAGCATAGACAAGATGTTTGGTAGTTCTTTGTCCTTGCAATCATTTGCAGCAAGGTCTTCACATAAGGATGCTTCAAATATTGAAACAGGACGTACAAGTTTGTCATCAAATGTTGCACTTCCTCGACTATCTGTGGCTGAGGTTTTATATGATTCTAGTTCAGGTAAGTGGAGACTGAATTAGTGATTATAACAACTGTAATATTTATTTGTTATTTATTAAACTCATTGTTTACTACATATAGCTAAAAGGTCTATACTCCATGTTAATTAATACTAATAATGCACCAAAAAGAAAAGAAGGATGTTGGTTTCATTGCTAATATGGCACACAACTTACAAATTAGATGGTGATTACTGTGCCCCTAGAACAAATTGTTCATGTTAAATTGATAACTCTATGACCACAGACTGAACCGAAATCCTGTTCAAAGGGGTACCTTAGGGTCCTTTTTACTTAGAAATATGGGTGTGTGCAGGAAATTATTTCTGTACAAACAGAAGACTGAATTTCTAATTGTTTTTCTGTTTTTTTAGAATTAACAGTTTCCATGTTTTCAAATTTGTATCGATTTTTGAAAAACAACTGAAACTTATTTTCTATCTTATTCCCTTGTGAAGCTTTTTGCTTGTTTCTCATTTGCTTTAAAAGAAAATATGCATGAATCTGTATCTTCTTCAGAACTATTACTATTACTGGAAAAGGTACGCTACTTCTGCTGGTAATAACATAACCACCACTATCATTGTTACTGCTGCCATACCAATGACGTGGTTATCACCAACAGAGAACATCTCAAGCTTTGCTTGCTGTTGCCACCGCTGAAGTGAAACTGCTGCCACTCTCATCACTGCACACTGCCATTATTGTTATTATTGCTGCCATTGATAGCCTCGTTATTGCCTCTGCTGGCACCATCATTATCTTTTGAACCAAATATTTCATCACTTGACTAGTTTCCATCTATTGTTTCTTCAGGTCAGCAGCAGAAGATTCTGAAACCTCAATCTGAAGATGGTGTTTTAGGGGAATCCTTTGCACCTGTTATACCAACCAGTGAACCAGTTCAATGTAAATTATGAGACTTTTATTTTTTCCTTTTAATATTAAAACTACTTCTCATATATTTTAGATATACCTATAACTGTTAACTTACAAGTTTTGCAATGCTGGTAAACTTTGCAACATTTTCTGCAGCTGAAAGCTTCATTCGAGGAAGGTCTTATAACATAAGGATGGATGATCAAGTTCTGCTTAGATTTTCTCCGAAGAATTCTGATTCCACTTATTACTTCGGTGACATGGTAATGGCGGGTTATGTATATTTTAAGCATGTTTTTCAGAGATTTAACATTCACATTATTTTTCCTAATTTTACTAACCTATTTTACTGACAGATTGGTGGAACTCTCACATTTTTTCATGAAGAAGGATCTAGGAGATGCCTTGAGGTAACGGCCAATGACAAGCAATAAAAAATATGACTGCAGATGTATGTAAATGTGAAACCAGTTGTGAAACTGAAAATATCTATCTTAGTGTGAGTTTGATCCCTTTAGACTGCTGCACGGTCAATTAATGCTTTCAGCCCATCAAGTGTTGCATCAAGCGCTTTAGATGTATCAAACTGGGAACTACTATAGTATTGAAGTTGACTGGAAGGATGATTGATATATTGTAGGTCTCAATAACTCTGGAAACTTCAGAGACTATAAACCGACGTTTTGTTCATCCTTCTCGCAGGAATTCCCTAACAATGACAAAGGTATGTCTGGGTATATGCAATGTTTCTCAGTTGATGGATTTATCACATACCATAAAAGTTATACTTTGGAAAAAATAATAGACTTTCCTGATTAACACATTTTTTTGGGGGAATGATTGTTACTATTTTTGCATTGACATCTATCTCCCTACAAGTGCTACATGTATATTCTTATTAAATGTGTTTGCATGTCCAAAAGCTGATATAGAAATTGTGCAGAGTTTTAGTTATGTTAGAATCTCAATTTAATATTATTCCCAATTCAAAGACCAAGTTATTGTGTTCGATATTTTGAGAACTGAAAGGAACTCATGGTAAGCAAAAACAATCGTAGTTATTGTTGCTTGGTTATTTCAGTAATTGTGATAGATGTATTTAATAGATTCATATCTGGTGCTGAGATCTAATCATAAGTATATTTTGTGGCATGATGCTTTCCTCACAGCTTAATATTTTACCCAATTTCCTTGACTCCTGCCATTTTATGATATTCCACATGGTTGATAGAGAGGCATCGACCATGAAAGCTTTTACTTAAGTGACAGCAATCAGTTCCAGGAATGAGAGTAATTATTGCATTTCACCATCTAATCAAATCTACTTCCATAATTTTCTCGAGATGGAAATAGCAGAGAGCTTGCTTAGCAGTATCCTGTACTTTAAAATGGCAATAATCAGTTGACTTTTGGGAATGGTCTTTGCATGTAGTATCTAATCGAAGGCAGGGTGATAATAATATCTAGAGTGAACTAGCAGAGAGTTAAACATCTTGTTTGTCAGTATATAAGTTGTTTGGCTTAAAAAGGTTGTACTCTTTTAGAGTGATATGCAGAACTTTTACAAATGTGCATAAAGTGTATTTTCCTTTACATACATATTTTAGACGATAAAAAACTAAACTGCTCCAGTCTTAAGTGTACATATATTTATCTTCTGATTTTTGTTATTCAAGCATGTTTTTTTCTTTTGCTTATCAATAAAAAGAGCATTGTCCTACTTTCTCTATCTTCTAATAGAATTATCATCGCTTAGAGTGAAAAATTGATCAGACGTACGAACTAGACAAATTAGAAGAGCCAAACACTTTTTATGCGACACCAAAAAATTAAAAAATTAAAACAGAAATATGTAGCTGGAAGATCTTCCGGCACCTCACCCCCTCCCCTCCCTCTTCCTTTCTGCTTATTTTAATGTTGTGAACTTCAGGCGTGTTGGCAGTAGTAAACATAGAAATCTTATCTGCTAATTGACACACTTAAAATATTATTTTAGCTATCCCATCATCCTTGCAGGTTCAGAGTGATCATAATGAGGTTGTGGCAGATTTGGTGCAGACCAGCTTTCTTTTTTCACTTCCCATGGATGGACCCATGTCCTTTTCCACTCCACACATCTCTGTGCAATGGGCTCTAAGATTTGAATTTTTTACCACTCCAAAGAATGTGGACTGGACAAGGTATTTCCAAATAGCATTTAATGAAGCATTTGTTGCAAGGGTTCTTTCGATCTTTGATCATAGATTTTGCATTCAATATCCAATTACTGTATGCTGCTGCTGGCAGAGACAGTTGGATTGTAGCTGTCTGTTATTTATTTTCAGGAACAACAAAAATATCTAATTGGTATTGGTTTTTACATGCTCTTGGTTGCTAAGTTGAATTGCCAAGTTGAATCCCTAAATCATTTAGATATCAAAGTCACTGGAGAACTACTTAGCTACCTGTTTACATGTAATAAGAGGAAAACTTATGAAATGTTGATTATGGGCATATTACTTTTAGCGGTAGGTTTTGACATTGCTGAGGATTGACCAAAATATGGGTAATTAGTAAACTTGTGTGAGAGTTTCCCATCCCTATGTTTTTCTCCACCAAGATCGGCGCTATTCATGCCATTTTCATTAGTTCTGCCTACTGTCAGTTATGGAAAACAATTACAGACCCACATCCAAACATGCATTGATAAAGATGTATGTCCAACTCAGATTGTTATGTCTTTTCAGCAGTAATACTGGAAAAGTTAAATTTGCAGATTTATTCTTCAGATTTGTATAGTTGCCTCTCGCATCTCTTTTGTATTAAATTTTTATTGATCTTTCCAAATGCAGATATGATCATCCTCTTCTGGTAGAGGGTAGAGACAAGAGCGAGTGGGTTCTCCCCATTACTGTGCATGCACCTCCACCTGGTACTGCTGCACATGCCCGAGATGAGAAGAATTTCTCTTCGGAGCCTTTGTGGCTTTCTACTTGAAGGTACATCTTGCAAATTTTATTTGTTATATTTAGGAGCATTAAATCAATTAGCTTCTCCACAAACTTGATTAAATTTAAGGAGATTTTGTTTGGAGATTTATGGCTTATCATGAGGAGCTAAGTTTTAAGTTTATGAAGATGCAGAGTAAAACAGGGACATCTCCCCGTATGGGTTCTTAAAGGTTGTAAACAGGAGATTTTGTTGGTCCAGTGATCGGATACCCATTTTCTACTCCATGCTGTCAAAAGAAATTCCCATCACCTCCTGTGATGTAAATTGAAAATTTGAAAATGAAAAATTAAAAGAAGTGAGCTAATGATTCATTGACAGTATATTCATACATTCAAATTTAGTTGTGTAAAACCATATGCAAATATGCAAGATTTCTGAACATGTTCAATTTTCTTTTACATAAATTTTAAATAAATAAGTAATTTTAAATTTAATAGTTATACATATTATTATAATTAGATAATATGATTAATCTTATAATAAATTTAACACAATTTTCATATACATAAAATATGAAAAATAATCTAATGTATGAATTAATGATCTAATAACTTAATACTAATATGAAAATCCATATTTAATTCATATTATATTAATTTTTTCTATTTATTATGATTCATGGCATTATGAATTTATTTTTAAAATTAAGGTTATTTATTTATTTATTTTTTAATGAAAAGCACATGGGGAATTTATGCATCAGGCTCATAGTTTATATGTTCCTATATTAGTAGGATGACATTTGATCATTAGTTCTGATTTAAGGATTAAGGTGCCTGAGTTAAAATTTGAATAGCTAACCCTATTGATATCTCTTCTTCTTCGCATATAACCACCAACAAGAACATCAATTTCTCCAACGTATATGATATATTGTACTGTCTCTTAGGCTTTAGAATTTGTTTGTCAGTGCATTTTTTTTTTGCTTTTCCTCTGTCTTCTCTTTAAACATGTCAATTTAATATTGATGGATGCAGGAGAATTGATCATAAGTTCAATACAGACAAGTATTTTTTGTTTACATAAAAGATATATTGATGCGCTCTTATATGAGTCTATAAATTACCAAATTAGGTAATTTAGTAAAGACTTTACTTTTTATCTATGTTGCATTAAATATTTATTTATTTATTTTTATTTATAAAATGGGTCCAAGTTGAATCTCACTATTCAATTAAAAAAAAAAAAGAATGAAAACTACATTTAGTTACCTACTTACGTTATATGACTCCTCATACACCAAATTAATAGGTGATTTTCATTATTGTTATTTTATTTGTTTCTCTCCCCTGTGAATGGTGAGATACTCTCATCTCTCTGCATCATGTGTAGTTAAGTTTAATACAGTCCGCAAATGAAAGAAATGAAAAAAAAAAAAAAAAAAAAAAAATTTCATTCCCCTGTGAACTGGTGAGATACTCTCATCTCTCCTGGCATCATGTGTATTAAGTTTAATAACACGTCCGCAAAATGAAAGAAATGAAAAAAAAAAAAAAAAAAAAAAAGCACTTCGATTGTATAAAAAAAAAAAAAAAAAAAAAAAAGCACTTCGATTGTATGGAAAACATTAGAAACAAACCAATTAAGTTACAACAAAAAACAATGAATAAAAGAAAGTTACAACAAACAGTAAATAGGTTCAATTTCTAACAAAAGCTTTGGAGAGCTGAAAGAACCAAAATGCCAACAAGAACCAAATGGCTTTGTGAAAACGGAAAAATAGAGTAAACATGAGCCCAGGATGGCCCAATCGCTTATAAATTTATTGCCACAAATTATTTAATCCCCAGTTCATCAATATGAGAACTGGTTATAATATTCCAAATAATAAAAGCTGGCCTCCCCTACATCCTTGATTTGGCAATCACTTCATTTCCTGCACTGCCCATTTCCGTCGCCCCTGACCTTGTCCATGTCTTCTCCTTGAATTGCTCCTCAGTCACTCCTGCAAAATAAGATTGACAACAAACAAATAATCAGAAAAACACTTCTCCATTACGGACTATCTCTGAAAAGTCAAAGGTTTGATATATAAGGATATTCGGAGAAATATAAAAATATATTTCGAGAGAGAAAGAGAGACTTGCCTTTGCCCATGGCAGCAGTGGAAGAGATGCCTCCTTGGACAGTCTTGAGGTACCTATCATAATAATTAGCACCAGACCATTTCTGATGAGCAAGAGTATCAACCCCATTATTCCTTTCCTCTCTTTGTATTTTCTCAACATAAGCCAACATTCCTCTCCTTGCAAAATCCTTGGCAAATGTATCAATCACAAGAGCATCAGCATGAAAACCTGCCAACGTTATAAACTGCCAGCAAAATCCTAATCTCGCAATCCGAGGAATGAAATCCCTCATTTGTTGATCGGTCATGCCCGAAGCATCCCAGTTAAAAGAGGGTGAAAGATTATAAGCGAGCATAATTTCCGGCTGCTTGGACTTAACTCCTTGAGCAAATTTAGTACATTCATCCAAATCTGGACTTGAAGTCTCCATCCATATAAGATCGGCGTGAGGAGCGAAAGCCCAGCCGCGAACAACAGCAGCCATAACAGACCCTTTAAATCTGTAAAACCCTTCTCTAGTTCTAGGCAAATCCCAATCCCAGAACAAATTATTGACTCCTAATCCTTCAGCAATATCTTTTGCTTGCTCATAAGACAAGCACTTATCGAAACTACTCTGATTCATCCATTGCTCCATTCTTCTCCTCTTTTCGCCTTCTCCAATATTATTCATACTCTTTATAGCATCCATTACACATTCAGAGAAGGTCTTAAGTTGCGCCATTGCGAGCCAGTTGTCCTCAATAGCTTGAAGTTCAGCTCCAGTTTTTCCATTAGCCATACCAATAGCTAACATATCAGCCAAACTTTTCCCCCTAAGGTTCGGATTTGTGGCGCCTAAAATAAATTGATGATCTCTCGAATCAACATTTGTTTGAATCAAATTCGCCGCGACAGCATCAGTTCTTGCAACTAAAACTGTCTCTACACCCATAACATCAAACTGAAGCCTGGCCGCCACAAGCCTATTAATATGTTCACTGACAGCAACAAGTACTTTCCCAGCCATATGACCGCATTTCTTAGTAACAGAAGATTGATCTTCTATATGCACACCAGCTGCTCCTCTTTCAACGAAAAGCTTGCAGAGCTTGACAGTTGCAGTAGTACCACCGAACCCAGTATCTCCATCGGCGATTATAGGCTTTAAGTAGTCAACATAAGGAGTTCTTGCTCTTTCTTCGCGGCTCATGCTCATTCTTGCTTCTCTTTGTTTCCTGTCATGATATTGTTGAGCGAAAAACAAGTGTTCGACTTTGTTTGGAACGGTGTCATATGGGTAATCAGCAAGGTCAGGGCCTGGTTCATTCGTTGTAGTGTGGGTGGAGGAACATTGCCAACCGGAAACGTAAATGGAGTCCAAGTGTTTAGCCATCATGGTGACTTGAACTGGGTCAAGTGCACCGAAGGTTCTTGAAGCAGTGCCGTTAGCTTGGTGAGTTTTGAGAGTTAGCCATAGTTTTTTAGCCAGTTCGTTTGAGGCGTAGCTTTGTTTGAGATTTCCTCTCAGTGCTACAACGTCTCTTGCTGTGTATGGTCTTCGGGTTAGCTTGAACCTCTCTGAGTTCCACCATGATTGTACTTCCGCAACTTCTGCTTCGAATCTCCCTTCTTCATCCATCATCTGTTCACAATATTTTTAATATGGGTTAAAAAATGTTTTAACATAAAAAAAAAAAAAAATTACAGTTGAGCATAAATCCGTTGACCAACTGAATCGAACCAGATCAAATTAATCTATTTGGTTTAATTTTAATTTCGATTAGATTCAGTTTTCATTAAATTTAAAATTGAAACCAAATTTACCTAAAAATGAATCAAAACTTCAAAATTAATTACAGAATCAATTCATTTAAAAGTAATTGGTTCAATTGAGTTTTTACATCATAAAAGTTTAGATTTATTTAGTTTTAATTGTTTTAGTTAATAAAAATCAAATTGACAGTTTGCAACTAGCTAAGAAAATATTTTTTTTGAAAAAAAAAATGATTAATCAACCAATAATTTACTAAACATGTCTCCTCAGAGCTATCAACCAACCAATGATTTCCAAAATATTTTTCCTAAAAGCAACTTTTAATTATTAAGAAAATAAAAATAACCGATAACTTTAATTTAGAAGTAATCTATATCTATATTTATCTATCTATCTATACTATATATAAAAGTGAGAATGAGGAGAGAAATAATGAGATTTCTTATATTATTCTTGTAAAATTTAAAATACTCTAAAATAATCTTAGTTATCGCCGATTAAAAAAATTTTAACATAAAAATATATATAATATCTCTATAATTTGATTGGTTTTTTTTATTTTTTTAATAGAACATAGAGATAATTAAGCATTTGAAAATTTAAAATTTGTTTTATTCTCATTATATATTATATAAATTATTAATAATAATTTAAATAAATTGTAATAATAATTTATTATTATTATTATTATTATTATTATTATTGTTATTATTATTTATTTATTATTATTATTATTTATTTATTATTATTGTAATTTATCTTCAACATTATTATTTTAAATTTTAAATGAATATGTGTAAATATGAGCAATTTATAAATTTTTATTTTTTTGAATTTAGTTTAAATAAATATATTTAGATAATTAAGATTTTAATTTAATAAAGGGTATGGTTAAAATTTTTTAATTAAAAAATAAAAATTATTTAGCATTGTTTATAAATATTTAATTTGATTTATTAGATTATTTTCTTATTCTATTGTTAAAGTATATTTATTTACGGAAAGAGATTACAGCGAAAGTTATTAACAAGACATATAAGTTAATTATAAAATGTAAAATAAAAGCTATATGATGATTTTTATAAATCGATTTGGTGCTTAAACAAAAAAAATAAAAACAACTAGCGTATAACAAAAACTATATGAATCAGTATGTTGAAGAGAATATAAATGACATATTTCTTATTTAAATTGTTATTTTAAAGGGAGAAATAAATGTATCAAATTTTTTTTCAATGGGATTTTACAGTTCAATATATATTTTAAAAAAAAATTACTGTAGATATAAAAATCCACTATATTTATCTCAATCCAAATAAAAATTTATACTTTAATTATATAAATAAAAAACTAAATAAGTATAAAAAATCAACATATAATTACGAGTGTAATTAACATGCATTGCCACGTTGTAAAAACAACTAATTATTTTAAAACAAGAGATATCGACGTCAAATTTCAATTAGAGTTAAATCAATTTAAAAAAGTTGAGTAATTATTGAACTAGTCACTGAGTAACAAATATTTTTTTATTCGATTCAGTCATAGTCATAGTTGAAGTTTTCTTCCTCAAGTAATTCAAAAGTAAAATCGGCTGAATTTGTCCGATTTCGGAAACAGGCCTGTCCGGGCCGATCCGGAGTAACAACTCTGACAAGCTAATGGACCCAGTTGGACCGTTCGAATGTTATTGCTTAAAAAGATAAGAATAAAGTATATATGAATAACAGTATATAATTATATATAATATTATATATTATAATATATATATATATATATATATCGCCACATATATATATAATGCCACATAGACAGATGCATAAATGTCATTATGCATGTTTATGTCTAGAAGTTATTGCCTTCGTCATTTCAAGTGCCCTTTAAAATAATTATACAAGTATCAAGAAAATTGTTAAATAATCTCAATTTAAAAAAAAGATAAATAATTTTAATTAATTAAACTATCTTATAATAATTTTTAAATAATAAATTTATTTAGTGAAAATATTAAAAGATAAGGTAAAATTAAAAAAATTAATATTCTGTAATTTTCTAAAAGTTCATATGAAGTGACAAAAATAAAATTGAAGCGACTTGAAATGAAATAAAAATATTAATTCTACAATATAATTAAATAAAAGATAAAAGTGTATAAATTATAATTCTTCACAAATAATGTTTTAATCCTTCTCATGATGGTATTATTTTTAGATTATTGCATGATACTTCTGAGATCGCTTATTCTAAATGGTGTAGCAACCATCTAATTAAATTTTGTTTAATTACATTAAAAAAACATTTAATCTATTTGCTATATATGAAAGAGATTGAAAAATCTCAATCTCTCCTTCTAAAACAAAATTAGAAGTATATATAAGCAGTATAAATAATATATATATATATATATTATATATATATATGCCTGTGGCACGAATTAAATATATATGAGGAAATGCACTTTATATATATGCTGTGGCAGAATTAAACTATATATGAAGGAAATGCATTGCAAATAATCACCAATAAGATTAAAAACTAAATTATTAATAATAGCTAGAGAGAAGGGTAATTTGGACATACCATTGAAGGAACAGAGAAAGATGAGGCCATGGCTAAAGCTTTAACTTGCAGGGAAGAGTGTGAGGTTTGATCTGAGTGTAAACTAAGAGAAGTTCATGTAAAAGAGCTAAATGAGCTCATCAATTTATAACCGAAGGATGGAATGGAAAAGAGACAAAAAGAAATACAAAAACCAAGAAAATGATTTTTCCACTTGTAATAATTTATTTTCTCAAATTAAAATCTTATCTTTGATAATAAATAAATAAAAATAAATTTGCAATTGTTATCTTCAGAAAGAGTATGAAATATGTCCCTTGGGAGGTGCATTTGCAGGGCACGTATGCCATCCCCACTACATGCAACTTGTCTCGTTTCTTTTACTATGATGTCACCATTTCTAGCTATATAACTGATTTCTGTTTTTCTGTTTGTCTTCGATTTTTTTTTCATATATATTTCTTGAAAAATATTTCGTAAATATTATTGTTGTTTAACTGTTTGTCTCTTTACTGTTTGGATTTTTGACTAAAGACTATATTTGACTCAATTTTAGCTGGATTTTATTATTTTTCATAATTGAATTTGATTTGAATCAGATTTTTGATAATCGAAATTCATTCGATCCCATTTGATTACTATTAAACTTTATATAAAAATATTTATTATTTTAATAAAGTTTAATATTAATAAATTTTAATTTAATGGTACTTCAAATTGAATTGAAATTTCGATCAAAATCTCATTAATCAAAACAAATGAATTTAAATTCATAAAATGTTATTCAAACTATATATTTAACAATAATAAATACATTCTTCGACTTATAAGATGCTCAAGTTAATTATTGTAATCAACTTGATTAGTTATTTAATTAGGATAGCAAACTAAAATTTTTTATTTGACAAAAGTCTGTTCGACTATACTATTTATCTTATTAGTCGTTAGTTGTTGTGGTAGCTAGTTGTTTCACTAATCTATTAGCTATTAGCTTTTAGTAGATAGCAATAGTTTAAATTAGAAGTGTTTTGTAAAAATAATTATTTAATTTAAAATGATAAAAAATGACATCAACTATTTAATTAGTTAAATTCAAGAAAAAAATAAATATAATTGTCAAAAAAAAATTAAGTATTCTTTATGAAACACTAAACATTAGATTAGAGTGTTAATATTTGATAAAAAAAACTTCTTTAACCTTTAAAAATACTACAATTAATAAATTTAGGTCACAAGGTTAAAAGTCAACTAAAAAATTATTGCCGAACGGAGACAAATTTAACTCTTCTCTTATTATAGAAAACTTTAAATTGAAAAATTTACTGATGGGTTAGTGATCTTTGGGATATTTCTTGAAACCCCTTTTTCACCCGAGTGTGTTTGATGTCTGTATAATCCAAAAATAAATGTCAGATAAAAAAATTCTGCTGACGATGGAGCTCTTGGGCGAGAAGAAGTGAAGGTCTCACATAGCATCACCAATTTTGCAGACTGCAGCATTTCTGGTGTTATAGTTTGTGGATTGGCCAAGAGGCAAATATATCAATTTTAAACCAAATTGATTTTGCTTTTGAATCATTTTTATAAAGAAAAATAAATTAAACCGGTTTATTTATGGCTAAAGAAGACGGATTGAACCGACTCAACAATTTAATAACTATGCTTCAAACCTTACTAAAAGACCGAAACTTAGGTGCGAAGAAAGCGGAAGAAGGCAACTTTGAAGCCATTTGAAGAATGGGTTTTGAAGCAATTGTCAAATTTTAGATAAAAAAGTGGATAATTGATAATATTGTTTTTATCTGAAAAAAAATTTCTATTTGCATGAATTCTAATATTATATTTGCACCCAACTTTATCTTTGATATTGAAATATTTCGACGTGGCAAAGGTAGGACATGACAGATGGACAACCTTAATCAAATGTAAACTGAGGCTAAAAATCCTATAATGCATAGATAAAATTTTTTAATTAATTTTAATTTAGCACTATATATTAATATATATATAAATTGCATAGAAAATTTTTTTAATTATTTTTTGCACTATATATTAATTTATATATATATATATATATATATATATTCTCTTTTTCCGAGGAAAGTAATTTAATTATTTCTCTGATATTACTCAAAATGATTTATTGAAATTTATTGAAAGTAAATGTATTCTTTCCTCATTTTATTAATTTATTGAAATTTTAACTGTCAAAATCAATATTTAAGCCAAAGAATATAATTGCATATATTTTTTTAATATGAGAGGAAGAATGGTAATAGATAAAATTTCTTCAATAGCAATGACTCTAAATTTTAAAATTTGACCTTTATAAATAAAATTCACTTGAATATAGTTGTATAAGTTAAATACGCGAGTTATATTATTTATTAAACATACAAGAAAAAAAATATTTTGATTAATAAATAGATAATCTGAAAATAATAAAATTTTAATAAAAAAACAAAAAAAGGAAAAAAAAAAAAAAAAAGGAAACTACTGAACTACCGCTCAAGAGAGAAACAAATCCACAAAAGAAAAATGGTAAGAGCATAGTTTTTTCATTATCCAATATTTTATTTTTATTAGGCACTCACCGTCTAATCTGATCTAATGGATAAAATAAAATAATTTCATTCAATAAATATTATTAATATTATGTTGTATTGATATATAACTCAAGTATAATAAACTCAAAGCAGACTGATCGCAGATATTATAAATGTAATTCATATTCAATATGATAGAAATTCAACCTGAAAAATAAATTAAATTTTTATAAAAATAAAATAAAATTGTTTATACAATCAAATGAATTTAATCGAACTGATTTAATTTTAATTTTAACTTAATTTTTGGATGAAATTAATTTGGTTTATAAATTTTTTTCATTTTACTCTTTCTGTCCATTTTGTTTGCTTGTTATTCCTTTTTTTATATTTCAAAATATTTGCAAAGTTTTTAAATTTATACATTTAAATAATTATTTTTTTCTCTCATAACCTTTATGGTTGTTCATTAAATGAAAAAATTTTATTAATAATTAAGGGTTAAAAAAGATTGAATAATTTTTATTATTTAAATTCTTAATATATATGTTTTGTCAAACCATATAAATAAAATAGAACAGAGAAAATATATAAGATCAAAACAAATTGAAATCAAAACTGAATTACTGTAAAGAGTATTCAATAGGTAAAATAAATTTAAATTTAGCTTAAAAGTTCTATAAGTGTACTACAAATGCAAAATAAGATTAATCTCAGTTGTCAAAAGTATAAGAATACATGTGAAAAACTGGTAAGTTTAGTTGGATTCTGTTAGTTTCACCGTATCAAAAATGAATTAAAAACCAGATCGGCCAATAATATAAGAATCCTTTATTTTGGGGATGTGGTCAGAAACGAAGAGTTACAAGACGTAGAAGAAGTGGGAATTGAAAGTCCCGAGGAGAAACTAAAGAGGATAAGGCTATCTTGTAATATATAAATAAGATAGATGACTGTTCGATTCTATCCTAATGGTTTTCTCAATCAATTTGACGGTAGCCGCCTTCAGACCTTTCTTATCTATCAACTCTCATCGTGTGTTTGATCATTTGATGAATGGTAGTCAAAAGATTGCAGTTGTTGAGAATGGTTCAACATTACGCAGATCGAGTTTGAGTTTTGGAAGTAGCTTCAGTTGGAATTGGAGAACAGTATAAAGCTCAAAATTCATTAAGTTTTTAAGCTTGTTTATGAATAATATTTTTATTTGAAAAGTTAAGTTTTATTTTTATTTTTTTTAATTTTTTAAGTTACTCATAAGCTTTTCAAGTTGAATTATTGGTTTTATTTTCTATAAACGAGTAGGTGGCATTGAGTTTATTGTGTGACCTATAATGTTACATTTATTCGTTTGGCCTCTATAACATTATATTTATTAAGATGTCTCTTCTTAATGTATGACCCGCATTAAGAAATGCACACACTATTAATGTATTTTTTAATAATGATAATAATTTAAATAATTATATTAAAATAAAAAATTAATATTTTTTATTTTATGATTATGATTTATTATAAATGATTATTTATTTATTTAAAATATTAACGTATTATACTTATTTATCGTAGTGTGTCCTAAGTGTGTGGATATTCTACTTTTTTAAAAACTATCATATCTCGTACGCTCCCGTCCGCGCACCTAACTCCTGGTACATGAGACTAATTCATACAACAAGCTAATCAATCAAGGTGTTATTTTATTACCAAGAAAAAATAAGTGTTTTTTTTAAATTTATTTTTGTGTCTTTTTTTATTAATGAATGATAAGAAATACTCTCGTCACAACTAAAAACATATTCAGTAGTCTTGGTAAGTCATTCATTTTTGTCGTACTCTGAGATTATTTCCCATCAAAGAGAGATTTTTTTTAATGAAAACTACGATAAATAAATTGAAATGAGAGGAGGTTAGCTCTAGGTTACATATTGATTAGATCAATTATCAATAAACTTAACTTTTTTTTAAAAAAAAAAATCAGTCCAATAACTTAATTTAGAATTCTAACATTTGTCATTTTATAATCCAAAATACTGTCAAATGGTAAATTGTGATACTTACATTTGGTTTCCATGTAAAACAAACTACTCTCCTTTTATATATTATATAGATAATTCTATACACAACTCATTTCACAAATTTAAATGAAGTTTTTTAATAAGTTAGACTATAATGACTTTCAATTGTTTCATAATCCTCCTCCACCTTATCAATTCTACTTTCTCATTTTGATTAACTATTGATAGATTCAAAATTGATCTATGATCTGAATGTTGGCCTCTTCTTTATGGTCTGTAAGGTCTCCTATAAATGAAGATTATTGCCGACATAAATCTTGATATAGTGGAGATTTTATCTCCATTATATCTAATAACTGATGTGTAGATGTCTTAGATAAGATATTTACATCTTGGCCGCCCTTTTATCTTTGGTGGTTAGCTTATTATTTTATTCTATCAAATGTTTCCCCAATAAAAATTGAATATTTATGTCCAATTTCATGATGAAATGAGTTAGTGATGATAGAACTCGGTTAATGATAAGCACTAAGACTCAAAGATGATTAAGCTCGGGTATTCTTTCTTTTATAAGCACATAAACTCTGATGAACGATGAGGCTCAGTAGTGAAGAACACTGATATTTGGTAGTGATGAGTGCTCGGCTCGATAGTGATGAGTGACCGGCTCGATAGTTATGAGCATCGTGGCTCGATAGTGGTGAGCGCCGTGGCTCGGTAGTAATGAGTGTTGTGGCTCAGTAGCGATGAGCACCCGGCTTGGTAGTGATGAGCGCCAAGGCTCGGGTAACCGATTCATTTATGCATTCTAACTGCATTTTTAGCATTAAATACTCACTTGATAGGGTCAGCAACCTTTAACTTGCTTATTGCCTTGTTCACCTTGTCAAAGCTACTTAGCTTTTTCTAGTGTAGTTCTAAGTATTATTCGATTAAGATATAATTTGGTAAACTTGCATAGTTCTTAAAATTCTCTACTAATAATAATAATAATAATAAAATATGGTCCTCACAAACTAAAGGAATGTAGCCATAAATAATTTTTTCTCAATATCCACACAGTATAATGAAAAACAGTTTCAGATTTCTTGTCTAATAAAACATGCATAGAGTATCTCCCTAGCTAGTTGCAATTATAAAAATGCAATCATAGTATAAAAAAATATTTAAATTAAATCATAGTATCTAATTAGCAATCTCAAAATGAAAAATTGATCGAGATATTCTTGCTAGTGAAAGTATCACAAATATACTTGAAAGTAAAGCAGTAGACTTATCAATAGAATTGACTTGCGTTATCATGTTAGATAAAATAAAATAATTCATTTCAAATAAGTTAACATCAGAATGAGAATATCAAAAGAGCGATATACGTACTAAAACAACAAATATTAAGAAAAACGCAAAATTATGTTTTAAAAAACATCAAATGACTTTAAAAAAAGAACTTCATCTCTCAAATAGTAATGTTTAGCATCAATGTGACATATACAAACTCAATATTAAGGCAGTAGAAGCTAGTACATTATTTTCTATAAAGATACCAAGTAATTATTATTAAAGCTTAAATAATTACATGATCATTTCATTAATAAAGCAATTACGTACATGTATGTGGCAATTTTGCTTCCATCTCTATGACTATTTATCATCATGACATTGTAACCAAACAATCCAAAAATTCACACCACATTATTATTTAATTACAGTTAATGCCTTTCCGAAGTCTCTTTTTATTTCTTCCAGTTAATGCGCTATCATTGCTTTTCTCAAGAAGGCTTTTATAAATTTTAATAAATTAAATTATTAAATACTCAGTATATTTTTTTTAATAAATGTTAAATTAGATCACTCTTTAAATAAATTGTATGAAATTTCTAGCAATACCATATAATAATAAAATTATATTTTTATTTTTATGTTATTTATATATCTAAAGGGGTCACTGCACTTTCATATATCAACAATCATACTTGGAATTGCGAATTATAAAGCACAAAGAAATTGCAATGATACAATACTTTGATTTCTCAATTGGGTTGCTTCTACTCATCAAGATGAGACCGGTTGCCCTCCCAAAATAACAAGATGAAACTCAATGACACTAACAAAGTAAAACATTTAGAAAGAGTCGGCGTCCGCCCTTTTTATCTTGGTCTCCGCCTTTTTATCTCTGAATGGTTAGTTTATTATTTTATTCTATTAACTATGAATTTGATTATGGTTTAAAATATAATACTTAATAGCAGAAAATGAATGTTTGTTGAAACATTTTGCAGGACATAATTTTAAAAAATTCTTCTTTGATAAATTAGATATTAAAGGGGAATAAGATTTTATTTAGATGAATAAGATTCTGTTTGAATGAACAAGATTCTATTGCTATGTATTTGTTTTGATAAAAAGAACACATAGTTGTGATGAAATCATAAATAAAATAAGGACCAAATAGTAAAACATACAAGGACTTAACTATAATATGAGGCCCTAAGAGTTATTTAGCCAAGGTTAGAGGAACTTACAACTATTTTCCAATTAAATATTTGTAATAGCCACCAATGAGGAGAGATTTTCTCTCTTTATCCCTTATCTATCCTTAAAATTTCATAGATTGCTTAACAACTACTCTAGCTTAACCTATTCATAGTACCTAAATAAGATAACTAAGCTCTGAATAAGTTTATTCTAAAAATGTCTAAAACCTAAATATCGTAAAATCAATATTCTTTGATCCTCTTCTCCATATTCAACCATCAAATTACTTTTAATCATTAATATTTTTTTAGAATTACCACATTAACTAATGTGATGAGCATGAAACAACACCTCGTTTTTTTGAATCATGTAAATATCCACAAATCCCTATGCAAAAGACACTAGATAATGCCGATATTGAAGACATGACAACAGTGGTCAAAGAGTTGAAGTTGTAAATTCTCTTAGAGACAATGGAAGCAATGCAACTCTAATGGGAGCTATTGATGGCTATGTTGCAATAGCCTCACTCAAGCCTACAATAATTCTATTATTGTTTTGGAGCGACTCATCAAAATGTTGACAACTCTGCAACCACTTACTATCAAAATATCTCATCACCTCATAGATGCAATCTTAGGAATCAGAACCCAACTGGGCAACACTTCTCACCCGAGCACTTGGGCTGAATAGATAAGAGTACAACCCACTCGATGCTAGTAGAACAAAGATCTTAACGTGAATTTGGTGGAATCAAAGTAGAGTCCATTTCAACTACCTCAGGAGGATGAGCGATCACACCATCACATAGCAAGACAAGACGAAGTACTGTATATTCTAGAAATACATTAGACGTTATATAAGGGCATCTTTTCAGTTGAAGGACATAGAGTAATTAATCTAAAGTGAAGCCTAAAGGAGTCTCTAAAGTGCAAGTCCAAGGATGATAATTGTCAAGATGCCACTGTTGAGCCATTCAAATGAGAGAGCAAGAAGCCACTCAGGTCAAACTCTACGGTACCATTAGATAAAGATAAAAAAAACTTGATAAAATAAAAAAGAGAGCAATGTCCATATATTTTATTATTCATAGTTATTTTTTTGAGGTCATAGGAAAAAGATTATCTAACTTGTTAAGTTTTTTCAGAACCCTTACAAAATTCATGCACCTTTCCCTGGGCGTTAAGTGGGGAAACGTGTGTCTAATCCTAGGCAAATGAAAAACTTTAGAGTTTGTTGCTCGCTATATCGAACCCTAAATGGGTGAATAACTTAATAGCCTTAGTAGCTCACTTCAAGTCTTAAATGGGCAAAAAGACTAAGTACCTGATTATCTAAGCTAAACTCTAAAAAAAAAAGGTTGGACCTAAAGAAAGCAAGCCTAAAGAATGTTGAGCAAGCATGCCAAACCTGAGCCTAAAGAAAGGCAAGCCAACATGGTTGAGCTTAAAGTGGGAAGAACAAATATGATCAAATGCAAAAGCGGGCATTGATCTCAAACAAGGACGAATAAAAAAAAAAAAAGAAAAGGCGAGCAAGTATGGTGGAATTCAAAGAGGGGCTAGCAAGCATGAGTGACCCAAAAATAAATAAATAAATAAAAATGTTGAACAAAAACGGAGCCCAAAGAGGGATTAGGGACTATGGATTATGTTTATCTTATGATGTACACGGATATTTTGGAATATCAATGAATATAACACATAAACTGATTCTATCTTTGCTCAGAAAAATACTTTAATTTAATGGAAATTGAATTTTAAAATTATAATAATATTTTAAAATTTTAAGCAATAGTAATTATTTCATTGTAATTTTTAGTATGAAAAATTTAAGAAATCATATTATTTCCTATTGAAACAAGTATCTTTAATATTTTGTGATTATTTATACTATTTTCATTAAAAAACTTTTGCTATATATATTTATTCAAATGAAATGATAAATATATTTTCGCCTCACAAGAAAAAATTCCTGGCTCGTTAATGTCTACAGCTATACGAGATCATTAAGGTTCCGAGTGAATTTATCTTAAAAATGCTTAAAATCTAAATATCAAAAAATTAATATTATTTGATCCTCTTCTCCATATTCAACCATCAGATTACCTTTCAATCACTAATAATTTTCTAGAACTATCAAGTTGTAAAGAAAAGGATCAATGGATTTCTCTGTGTCATTCATACAAAATAGTTATACAACTGTTTGCCGCACTTGCTTATGGTATTGAACTCATAGCTCCTGTTTAACGCTTAATTAACCAATTAATGAAAATTTTGAGTAAGTTTAGTGGAGGATACAATTATAACTAATTAAATTACTAATTAAATTTAGGGATAAATCAGTATAGTTACTTAGAATAATTGGATATTAGTAATATTATAAAAAATGCTGGTCCTTATTTATCCATAACTATCATAAATTTAGATTTTTAACTCAGTTAGTTCTGCATTTATTCTAATCATATTAAGTATTCCCTCCCTTCCATTTAAGTTTATCGGTTTTTGATTTTTCACCAGAATTAAGAAAAAGATCAAATCATATCAATTTTTTAAAAAATAAAGATAATTAACTAATTTATCTTTTTCAAATATAATTAAGTGCAAATATCCAAATAAGGATACACAGATAAAATTGAAATAAAATAATAATACTCGTTTAATTTTCTAAAAGTGTTATCTAAATGGAAAAGAAAATAAAATTAGTAAATTTAATAAAATTGAAGGAGTGGTAAGTAATAATCCAATGAGTTAATTACTTCAATGTAAATTTTGAGTCATTTAATTTTTAGGGAACGTGACAAGTTACATTCTACAACTTTCTGAATTGTTAAGACAGTAGACTTTCTAATGAGCCTTTAAACCAGCAATCATAAATTACAAGGATAAAATCAAAATTTGAATACATAGATATTTTTATATTTGCCAAAACAAAGGAGGGAAGGGAAATGGGAAACAGATTAACAAATATGTGCACAACTCCACAACCCATAACAAGGCAGTATAATTTTGGCATATTTCTGTAAATTTTCATCTGATTACCATTCAATGGGGGTAAATCTTTTAACTAAGTAAAGCCGAGAACAACAGAAGGCGGACAAAATCACGCTCGATACAATATGATTAAGTAAAACAAAACTGGTATTAGGAAAAACAAAACTGGTATTAGGAATTTTCATTCCCTCCACATGTCTGCAAATTCATCAGGCTCCAAAGGATTTGACATCTCGTGCATTTTCCTCCTCTTCTTGGCTTTGACTTTCTTTGCATACTTCCCAGCCTTCTGTTTTTTCTCCAATGCTCGAATCTGGAAGTATCAAGAGCAGAAGCATCGCCATGTTAATTTCAAAATATTATTAAATGGAAAACTACAAACAGGGGGTTATGATCACAGCAGTTGAGTATATGAAAACCAAAAAAAAAAAAAAGGAATTGCTTAGCTTGCACTATCATTCATATGTTATAACTCTTTTACATAAGACACCTTACATTTAGCAAGATGTTTTATGGTTTAATAGTTAAACCAAAAATACTTATGCTACGTTTAATAAGCTGTAACGAAATAAAAATGCTTTTGATTACATTATATTACATTCCATTATAGTTCATCAAATACTACTTGCAATAAGAATAGACATCTTAAGTTAATTTAGTAATAGTAAGCATCAACTGCTTCTCCAAGAAGCTAACTAAACAGATGCTATGCTGCTTATGTGCCAAAACCAATATTAGCTACTAAAAATCTCTGACCTGGTTGGGTGATACATAGAATGGATTCTCATACAGTGTAGGGCCTCCAAAGCTGCCACCAAATATTTTGATAGGATTCAAGCAAAATCGTGGACCAACCTGTATATAGCCATTTTTCCAAGTTGTCAGACCACCAAAAAGAGCTTGCTCACTTAAAAAAAATATAAAAAAAAATCTAAAACAAATCAATGCAAACCTCAACAAGTGTCATCTTGTCAAGGCCTCCTCGAGCAACTTTATCTGATTCGTTATGAGGTACAGATATCTGTAAAAATGAATAACAAAAATGAGCACGGACTTCTATGATTAAACAAAAAGAGGAAGCTTCATGATCGTAAGAAACAATGATTTTGAACACCATTGACCATGTAGCATAAAAATACTCGGTGTAGAATCATCCTGGATCTTCAAAAGCATCCATAAAGTCCAAGAAAAGTAATTCTACCATCATCATCAGCAATTATATGTAGCATGGTCTAATAGCAAGTAAAGATCCCATTAGCTGTCTAAGATGATAGTCCTTGGAAATAACACAATACACCATTGTTCAATAGTGTTGATTTCACTATGATGGATGCCACTTTTAAGTGGACAAGATTCACAAGTTATTTTTCGCATCACATCTGACAATGCCATTAACAGCATTGTAAGGCAACTACCGGCCTCTTATATCCACATTATAGATCCTCCCATTTCAAGCTAGCCCATGCAACGATATAAAAGATACAATGAAAACAAATGAACACATCAACTAGCCACTAGCAGAACAGAGATATCAAGCATCCTACAATTGCAACTAAAATGGACTCTTTAATTGGTTGCAGAGCGTACACGCCCAGGACATGGCCAGGACATGGATCGATCGATATATAATTCAGGACAAAGACATATGTCAAGAACTCTGAAGACAAATACTCAAATTTGAGCAATCTAATAATGGAATACTCTTGTCCAGTACCCTTTTACTGATAAGGAAATCCCGGACTAAGAAATTGAAATGCATAAGATGCAGCACTCCAATTGAACCCATATTACAATCCATATTACAACTAATGCCACAATTCACAATCAGCTAGACAAACTTATTCATATACTAAAGAAAGACAACACAAATATTCTCCCAAAAGAAAGAAATTATAACTAAGATGCATGCAACATGTTCACGCCACAAAACAAACAGCAGAATTCAATCCCCTTACCATGTAAAGTTCCAGCTCATCAGGGCCCCAAAAGAGGGATGGGAAGGTACTTATTAATATTTGTCATTATGTAAGATAACAACTTAATGTATAGTGTAAAATAACAATGCACAGGAATAGAAGGTATTATCATTGAGCTTTAGAGGCTCTATTACTGCGTATCTTTTCAAGAATGTACCAAGGGAAGTAGGCCACAAAACTCTAAACGAGGTCCAAATTACCTGGTAATTGCGAAACCATATGTGATCATCAGCAATGGAGAAAACAAAGACATGATCGTGATAAGGTTTAGATTTCCGGTGCTCCTTTGGTGTTCCAAATATCTAAGAAAAAACAAACAAAAAACTAAATACTTTAAGTAGCATATGAAAGCACCTCAGAAATACCTACATAACAAAACAACATTTAACTATTAGCAATCAATGCAGAATGTAATTTGCAAAGAAAGCTCAATTGAATTTGAAAAACCTGAGACGAGAATATTCAGTGATTTGGGATTCCATGCAATAAAAATTTATCATGTGTAGTTAATAGATTTCACAAGGTATTCACAATCAGCATATAACTTAAAAGATTGCCTTGAAGAACATTGCCAGTAACAGAGCAAGATCAGTGAATCCACAAACTAATTATCCACCAAGATGATTTCCCTAATTACGCTGGACAAAGCTATTAACATGTTTCTGTGTATGAGATAGAGAGAGGCATTTAAAATATTTCACTACTGCAGCTACCATATTTGAATTGAGAATATTTCTTGATCAACTTAGCTATTGGCTGGGATATTTAGGAAACATGTATGAATTTTTTAAATTTTGTTCTTTAAGAAAATAAGTAAACAGCCATTTCATCCATATTATAAGGTATAGTGTGAATAAACGTTGATTCAAAGAGGGGAAACAAAATATAAACACCTGGATTATCATTTCCTTCAACAGTTTCCAGTGGTCATCTTTATCAAAATTAGATGAGAAAGTCAACAGAGGCCGTGACCCTTTTAAATGATTTCCAGTAAGCTTCAATTCTTCCATTGTGTGCACTGAAAGAACAGAAAAAAACAACTTATGATGATTGAGTCCTTTTAACACATAACCATAGGAACTAATAAATAAATTTAATTAATTTGCAATGATAGAAAAACTTATAGATGAACACAACTAATCCCTATTGGAGAAAATGCCAATGAAAACAACACATGACTCGAAAAAGAAAATATTACCTGCATTAACCAAAAACTTCACTGATGGACCACTAGGGCATTTGGCCATCCATAAATAAAGATCTTTATGTTTTCTGCACTGCAAAATACAGAATATTGTGTGAGTCCTAACATCAAGGCAACATAATCATATTTGTCAGGCAATATGGTATTTTATCAAAAACATAAAGCTACAGCTTTCAAAATTGCCAGGCCATGAAAAAAATAAAAAAGGAGCAGATTTGCAAATGAAACCACTATCATGTTACAAGCATTCTCCAATACTTATAGCAATAAACACGGAACACACATATGAAATGAACCCATTATTCTATAACCAACTAAAATAATTTCGATAAATCAAAACTTACAAAAATAAATTTATTCAAAAATCACCTCAAAGAATAAGCACGAAGAACAACTCTTCAGCTCAACAAGTTCATTAAGTGCCATCCCTTTACTACTTTTGGACTCAACTTTGTTATCCTTCTTACAATGAGGCAAAAGAGACACCACATTCAACATCAAGTGCCGATACCTGACCAATTTATCAATATACATGTCAAAACAATAAAAAACAGTGCATGAAAACAAAAACCCATAAATTTATAGAGGGAAAAAAGTTAAAGTATTTCACTGTAACAATAAATAGTTTTACTGCAAGATTTAAAACCCAGAAATATAAGAAGGAAAAAGAGTTAAAATCTTCTACCTGTAATTGATACGGCGCGAACATGTGACCAAAACCTTCTCTTTGTTCCTAAAAACTTGAGTTTCAGTTTCCTTAACTTCACTTCCATTGTCTTTCCAGCCAAGGAGTGTTCGCTGAGGCCTTTCTGGAGCACTTTCATCCTTCTTTGAAGGGGCCGTGACCTCTGTTTCACTGATTTTTCGCTTCTTGCCCATTTTGAATACTAAAATATTTGTAACGTAAATAAAATTTTGTATACTACTACAAAACGTAAATAAGCATGATGGATTATGGAAAAGAAGAAAGAAGAAGAAGGAGAGAGCTCACCTGTTTGTTGCTGCTTCTAGGAGATGGCGGAGAGACACGTTGGTTCTTGTTTAAAGAAGGAAAACGGCAGTGAATAAATTAGGGCACCATTCAATCGATTTTCTTAGAGCTGACCTGTACTTGTTTAATTTTGTCAATTAATCTAACGGTTGAAATACATTTATTGAATATTGTTGGTAAACACATCCAGCGGTCCTCTAAATCCATTCAATAAAAGATCATCTTTTAAATGATTCATATTTTTGAGTTACTTTTCGACCCGGAGGTCAGGCTGTTCGTGCGACGATTTGATTCGGTTTAAAGCAATAACCAAATCAAATTTAAAGTAGCAATTTGAAAAAATTAAACGAAATTAATCCATAAAAAAATACAAACCAAACCAAATCTTAGTGTATTTTGAAATTTGTATTTTTTTTTATGTATTTTAATGTTACATTCTTTTTCTGGTCAACTACTACAATTATCAGAAGGGGATCATATTATTATTTGATATTGATGTTCAAATTTTTTTTCTTCTAAGGATGACTGAATAGATGTAACAATTTCATTTGAGGTTATTACCCACTCTTTAGTTGATGTCTTGAAACTTGCTTAGGGTGCGGCTGGTCACCTTCCTCATACTTGTTATTAGTGGCTCTCACTTGCAGAGTTTTGGTACAATACCTTTTGTCTCTCTCTACTATCATATTTCTCATTCTCAAGACTTATGTATATGGCATCTCTGCACCTCCACATTTACTTTATTTTCCAAATGAATCTCAAGTAGCAGATGTGGACATGTATAATAGGGAGAGGGAAGATACAATTCACTTTCCTTAAATAGCAACTACAACAAGCTTCTTATAGAATGAATGCAAGTTGACAAACATCACGGTGAAAGGGAATTTCAGATTGGAGACATGGTGTATTTGAAATTGAAATCTTACATGCAGCATTGTATCACTATATTGGCAAGGTATCTACAAACTTCAGTTACCAGATGAAGCTCAAATCCACAACGTTTTCCTAGTTCCCTCGTAAAATAGCTCATTCATCTGTTAGTTCTTCTCAACTTCCTCAATTTGAGCTCCATTTTCACAAGCCATTATTGACAGAAGAACTGTTAAAAGGGCCAATCAAGGTACCACCCAGTGGTTAATTCATTGGGCCAATTCTTCTCCTGTAGATGCCACATGGGAATTTGCAAATCACATTCAGTTGAGGTTTCCATCTTGCAATCCTTGAGGTCAAAGATTTCTTAAGGAGGTGTTGTTATGAAGTGAGAATGTAATTGCAGAAACGACAACGTTTGTTAGGTTGAAGTGAATGGATGAAACGCTGCGTTTGGAGGAAGGGGACCTTAGCCTAAGACTGCCACCTCCGCAATGTTTGTTAGACATTTCTGTCATCTGTTAGTTTGTTCTGATTTGTTCATAATCAATAAACTGCCTCTGAGTTTCTCGCCTCAAGTTCTCTCTCTTATTCTAAATTCCCAATTTGATTAGAGCTTATCAAATTCTTGTTTTTAGACTGAATCTTTCCATGTCTCAAACCAAGACCAAACTATGAATTTGTTTGTCATAATATCATCTGATTGCAATAAAAAATAATAATAAAAGTTTTCACCACAACCAATCAATAAAGAGTTTTACATGCACATTTACATCCACCATCAGATTAGCCAAAAGCTCACAAAATCATTAGTTACCAAAATGCTTCTGGTAAAGAAGCATTGAACAAACACATATCATAAGTCATAACTGCAGTTCCTTCTCTTTGCTTTGCCTGGCAAAGTAAGCCCTTAAAACATCCAAAATTTTGATGCTCCTTATAATAAAGTACAACAAAAGCAGCAGCAGCAGCAGCAAGAACCATTCAGTTCTTTTGGGCTTTTTCATTGACTTATAGAGTATCTGGAAGTCCAATACTTCTCAATTTCCTCTGCTGTTCTTCCTGGAATCCTCCCAGCAATTAGAGACCACCTGCAGAATTGATTTTTTAACAATAAGGTAAGTGAAAAAAGAAAGGAAAGTAGGAAAGATAGACAATTAAATACAAGCTTAATAATAATCTTAAAAATTATACTACAAAATATCATTTCAAGCAAAATTTCAGATATTCAAACAGAAAAATATTCTTTGTTAAAATGTGAGATTTCTGTTATAAAATCTCAAGAATTAGTTCTATTGAGAATTCATGGAAATGAAAAGAGTTAGCTAATTTTAATTCATATGCACGAAAAGGATATGAATATATGATAAAATTTTCACTCTTTTAAAACCAAATAACAAAATGAAATCTTTTTATAGAAATTGGATCAATTTCCATTCATTGAGCAAGCCATTACAAGGCAAGAAGTAAAATAGATAATGGGAAAGAAAAAGAATTATTGAGCCTACCTTTCACCAACCAGATTGAACATCCTAACAATTAGGGTTTCCTCATCCTCTGAAAATTCAGGCTTAGAGTCCTGGCTAGATTCATCTGCAATTTGAATCCCAAAACCAAAAAATCAGCAAAAAATAACCATTAACTCCATTGGGGTATCTTCAGAACAAGAAAACCAAGAAAGCAAACCTCAATTAAAACCTATAGACAGCAAAGAAACCCATATAGCATAAGGGCAAGAAAAGAAAATTGACAAATAATAAAGGAATTATTATTGATATATCTGATATTATTTACTACCTCTAGAGTCAGCAGAGATATTATCATCACTAGATGAGTGATCAAAGTCAGCCATAAGGAATTTGAACCTGCAAACACAGAAAATGAGAAGAAAGTAAAGAGAGAATTTTCTTTTCTTTTTTCTTTGTAAGACTCAAGAATTTAGGGATGTGGATGATTGATTCCATGTGAACCAAAACCGCGCTTATAATGGTGGTTGCTAATTGATAGAGGAGAAGAGTGGGTGGTGCGGGAATGGTAGTTGAAAGGAAGTGTCGATAGTCCAAGTTTGATAGGTAGTTGGGAATGCTTAACCGTTTGGTTGGAATGAAAATGATTGAGGAACTCTTCAATGTGACTGCTCATACCTATGTATGAGATACTTAATACTTTGGCGCTATAGCATTAAAAGTTATGAAATTCAAGAATTTTTATTCATAATTATAGTGATTATTTCTGTTAATGTTTAATTTTAGCATCTTAATCTAGGAAAAAAGTGAATGAATAATTTTATTAATAATTATTGTAAAATTTTATGTTTGAATTACTTTATGTAACTTGATTAAAGAAATAGAAAAAAAAAAAAAAAGAGAAAGAAGAAGCATTTTCTATTTTATCAAAGAGAATTTTGAATTTGAATATAAATATAAAAAATTAATAAATTCAAATCTTTATATACAATCCACAATTTTAATTTTAATTATTTTACAAAGTAAGAAAAATTCACAACTATTAAATTAATTCAAGGATCAGCACTTGATTTCAGTTATTCTCAAACCTTAATTTCTTCATATGATGTTGTTTTATTTGTGTTTGCTTACGATGATTATTGGGAGTTATTAATTAAAGAAAAACTTAAATTGTATATAAAATAAATTACAAATTTTTTTATGTAATATGTAAAGTCAATGTATGAAACCTAAAAGTCTTACTATTTTAAGGTTTTACATAAATATCATTTTACATAAATAATATATGACAAAACTTATCTTAGGAAAAAAAAAAAAACAGAGTATATCCTTCTTAAATGCCTTTTTTAAATTGATTTTACTGATATTTTAGATTTTAATAAATAAAGAAATTAAAAATATTATTTTATTTTATTTTCAAGTATGAAGATTGCATGGAAAATATTTTTAATTTCTTAAAAAAACAAAATTTATTTACATTGCATGGAGTATTTTCCATAAAAATTTTCATATAATCTTAGCATAATCTTTAAAAATATTCTATTATTGACCCGTAATCGTGTATGATATTAAAATTAAGATTAAATAGAAGTATTTTCCTTATTTAGTTTAAGATTTTTCCTAATGCTAAAGAAATTTAAGATCTCTGCCTGCAATTACAAGAAAGATAATAAACAGAGTTGATCTAATATTTTAATCAAGGTAGATGGGAGTGGATGATCATGATTTGAAATTGCAGATGTAGGGCCCAGATTTTGAACCAAATGTTGTTTACTGAGACACAAAATACATTCAATTAGTCAATTGCTGTCTTTCACATGGAAAATGTTTTGTAAGCGTTTTAGTTAACAAATATAATCCGCTCTCAGCAGTAATTAATTAAGAAGCAGACAAAGAAGCAAGACAGCGTACCTAACGCTGCTGGTGGAAAAATACTCGAAGAATTGATTATTAAACATTTTGCTTAAAATAAAAAGTTTTGATTATATTTCTTTTAACGAAAAAGACAAATTAAAAGGAATAGCTTTTTAGATAATCAGATTTGTTTTGATAACATATGTTCTTTACGTGTATTTGTGGGGGTTGTGCATCGAGAATTACATAATTTTTAGTCTCATCTCAAAATATGTGAAGATAAAAAATATAGTGTTAATCTGATTCTAATAAGTATATAGTCCCAATTCATTTTGTCCTATTTCTTGAGACGAGACAAGATGGCATAAGTCAGTTTGGGAATCAATAATTTTCCATAGTCTTATTAAATTATTTTTGATGAAAAAAAAGATAAAATTATTATATTCATTGATTATAATCAAACAAAATTCATTTATATAAATTTGAATTAAAAAAATAATCAAATAATTAATTTTAATCATTGATGACCTACTATTAAAAATTATAATATAAAATTTTTAAGTAGTTATTTTCTAGTTAATAAAAGAATTAAATATAATAAAACAACTTTATATATATATATTATAAAATTTAACTTGTAATTGTTTTTATTTTTGTTATTGTTATCTTTAAACTGATTTAAATTCGATACTTACTTAATTTAATTATGAATATTATCTGAAAAATAAATAATAATAACATTAGGCATAACCATTAATTCAGTAATCAAATTAATTAAGGTTAATATTTTCTCTTGTATTGATTAGTCTTTTCATTTTTATTTATTTAATATTTATTCAAAAAATATAGTAGAATAACAAAGGAAAAACATATATTAAAAATTTTATTTAATTAATTGATTCATTTTATATTTAGAAAAAATGCTTTTTTTCGTATTATTACTACCTTAGCAAGCAATTGGTGTCATAAAAAAAACTAAAAATAAAAAAGATGAAATAATTTTCATAGACATAATTTGAAATTCATAAAAAAAGCAACTAGAATTTTAAAGAAAAAATGGGATGGGAATCTCGATTTTCGAGATGGACAGGATGAAACGGAACTTAGATCGATACAAGTCGATTTTAATGAAAAAATCAGTTTCGTCCTATAGTTACTTTTAGAACAGGACTCAAGATGAGACTCGTAAATTAATATTGAATTTTTTTCAAAATGAAAAATTTGGGAGAGTTTTCAAGAACGAGTTGAGATTCCCACAGTCCCATATACACCCACTCACAGGATTCATATTCCCAATGACTTAATTTGAATCAAAATTTATTCAAAATTCTTATAGGTTAATAAATAGTAAATGGAAAAAAATAAATCAGTAAAATTAAACATGAGATCCTTAAATTTTAAATTTATTAATTAATACTTTGATTCTTTCATACAAAACAAATGCATCAAAGTGTTAATGAAAATTACAAGAAAATGATCAAAATATTGACAAAAATCATTAAGTCAAATAGCTCAATTACTATAATTTAGATACCAATTTCAATTGATCGTTAAACATAGTTATTTTGAACAGAATGACCAATGTGGTAACGAAATCATAAATTAGAAACCTCATAGTTAGTTTTTAAAAATAGATAGTCGTGTATTAATTTGACTATAACTCAAGGATTAATTTATTTTTTTTTTCTTATAATAAATTATTAATAGTATTTGAAGATAACTCTAGAAAAAAATTTAAATGAATTTTTTCTAAAATCAATTACACTATTAAAAAATTATATTGCAAAATCTACTATTAACAATAATTTTTATTACTTATTATAAAAATAAAAATGATAAAAAATAGTATAGAGAATATACAGAGATATATGAGATATAGTTCTTATTGTTTACGCGATTTTTTAATTTTTATGAATTATGGGATTGAATAATTGATTTGTAGTTTTTTTAGGCTTAAATTAATTAATTAGGCTTTAAATATTAGAGGCACATTATTTAATTAATTCATTGCTAATGGAGGTAGTAAAGGTGTGGTTGCAACAAAAGATCATGAAATTGTACCTAAACAAAAGATGACACTTTGATAATCCACAATTGATAAGCATTTTTAAATTGTTTTTTTTATTGCCTAATTGCTACTTACTCTCTATAAACAACATCACTAGTTATATGGAGCAATTTTTCGAAATAGTAGGAATTTTAGAAAGTAAAAGAAAATGAAATTTAATTTTGAATTTATTCCGAACATGAAAATTTCATTTAAAAATGAGTTCTAATTCTATCTAGAATTCATTTGAATACGAACTACCCGTGCTTTGCGCATGTTATTTTGCCAGTTTATAATATATAATTTATAAACAATATATATTTTTAATATAGGATATTATAATATTCATTTTCCTCGCGAGTTGCTTTATTAAATTTTTATTTTATATAGAAATTATAATGCTGTTAATGATAGGACCGCGCGTACCATCCAACCCCGAATTAGTATGATATTGTCCGCTTTGGGCCAAGCCCTCACGGATTTGTTTTTGGGCACCTAAAAGCAAGCCGACACCCGAGGCGACAACACAGCCGTAGAGGGGAGCGAAAAGCGCCCCGCCAGCCGAACAACGAAGGGGGGTAGGCACGAGGAGAAAACAGGAAAAAGGGAGACAAACAAGAGGAGAGAGAAGGATGACAGAGAGAGAGGAGAGAGAGGCGGGAGGGACGCGAGGCGGGCCCGAAGGGCACTCTGCCGCGCCGCGCCCGCTCGCAGCCAGACCCGCCCCCCCCCACCCCCGGCCGCCCCCCCCGCCCCCCGCCCGCCGAGCCCCCCGCGCCCCCCCCCGCCCGCCCGCGGCGAAATGGCGCCACCCCAGCCTCCCGCCCCTCCCCTAACCCCCCCCACAGCGACACGCGCAGCCATACAACAGCCTGACCGCGGAGCAAGCCGACGGCACCTCACACACTAGACGGGCCTCTCGCAGCCGACACCCATATAGTGTGTGGTCCCACACCCCTGGGGCGCTCCGCTCACACGCAGCCCCCGCCGCTCTCTTCCTTTCTTACTCTTTCTTTTTTTTTTTTTTTTTTATCTTTTTTTCTCTCCTCTCTTCCTCCCTGCCCCCTCCCTCCTCTCTCGCCCCTCCCCTCTTTCCTCCCCTCCCTCTCCTCCCCTTCCCCCTTTGCCGGTCTTCCTGTCCCGCTTGCTTCTTTTGTTTGTCTGGCCTCGTCTGCTGGCTCTCCCCCTCCCCGATTCCCGCTTGTGGGTGGTGTTGTTGTTGGTGGTTGTTTTGTTTTGATGTAGGTCCTATGGTTCGGTGTGGGTTGTACTGGGTGGGCTGTGTGGTGTGTGGGGGTCTGGTTCGTTGGTGTTTGGTATTGTGTTTTGTTGCGCGACGCCACCGACTGGTTATTATGAATTATGGGATTGAATAATTGATTTGTAGTTTTTTTAGGCTTCTAAATTAATTTAATTTAGCTTTAAATATTAGTGAGGCACATATTTACAATTAAATTCATTGCTCAATGGACGCGGTAGTAAAGGTGTGTTGCAACACAACAGATGCATGAAAATTGCTAGCCTAAACAAAATGATTGACACATTTTCTGAATAAGTCTCCACTAAATGACTAAGCAATTTTTAATGATTGTTTTTTTTTCATTGCCTAATTGCTTACTTACTCTGCTACTAAACAACATCACTAGTTTGATATGGCAGCTAATTTTCGAAACTAGGTAGAATTTTAGAAAGTAAAAGAAAATGAAATTTAATTTTGATCTATTCCGCCGAACGATGGGAAAAATTTTCATTTAAAA